AACAGTGTCTTTGTTAGGAGGCGAGTTCAGCTAAGGCATCAATTCTTTCATGTTCACTGAGGCCTATGTGAGAGGGGACCCACAGCAGCTTATCCTGACACACTCCTCAGTACTTAGATACATCTGGGTTCAGGGACAAGTGTGTGTGTGAGACACTCTTGAGATGGTGGTGTTAAGAGCAAGTAGTGAGGATAAGGAGTCAGTAACGGTGAGTACGGTCTGTGGGAGTGATATCAACAAGTCTCAGAGCTGTGAGTATGGTAAATAGTTTAGTTTGTCCAGCTATCGACATTGTGTGAATACCTACTGAACTGTATATGTCCACTGTTTGTATACCTGTGCTATATATATGGCACTATCTATCTATCTATCTATCTATCTATCGTCAAAATATAATAATATACATTAAGGATACAGTCACATTTCGTAAAGGATCTAGCCGCCTTACAAGGGTCGTGTGTGTGTGTGCGCGCGCCCGCCCCACCATTCAGTGCCTTGGCCGTAGATAAACTTGTGTCGTCCATTAATCATCTTGGTATTTAAAGAGATTGTTAGAGTTTGTGGATATCTCGGTGATGTTTTATGGGAAGGGGGGGTGGGGCGGGGGATTTATCGCGGCGTGACAAGAGATTTGGGCAGCATTCAGTGAAAGAGAGATAGAGAGAGAGAGAGAGAGAGAGAGAGAGAGCTCACCCATCACCAGGAAATTCTCTCAAAACATAACTTTAAAAGATTTATCAACAGTATTTAAAAATTAGGGAAAATGTAACGCTTGTATATATGATAAAGTAAGATGTAATTATTCAAAAAGTAATAATGGGAAAATGATGTTTAGTGTAGTAATTCGTTAAAATTGGGAATGCAATTAATTAAAAGCAGCAATAATATCTGTGAACTTTTGAGAAATTACCTGTAAAACTTAAATAACTGTAATATTCAATAGATTACTTATAAAATCTAAGAACGATAAGAAAGAAAGTTTATCAAATTAGCTGTAAAATGAATCAAAATCAGCAAAAAAAATAGAATTAGATACAAAATTGAATAAGATTAACGAAAATTTCTCTGTAAACTCAGCAATAAAACATATAATAAAATCTTTAACACAAAACATGAGAAAATAAAAATATAATAATTCATTTTCTTAAATCTTTCAAGAGGAAATACAGTAAATTTCGCCCCCACTATAAAAACCCATTCCATATACCTCGTGTTGTCTTCCCATGATTGAGCAATGCGTAATGAATAGTAAATGGCAGTGTTTTTTTACATTTCTCTACCTTGCTAGGACGCACAGATGAGAAATATAGACGGACAAAGAGACACACGGAGAGAGAAACAGACGGACAGACATACATAAAAGGACAGATAGAGATGGAGAATTTTTTTTTGAGTGACTGTACATGAGTGTCTATATGGGTTCAAATTCAAAGACATTCACCCAATGGATATTTCTTGAAACTTAAGGTGTAAATGTCTGTTTAAATCTGGTTAAAAATACAACTATAAAGTGACATTAATAAATATCGTTAACCCCTTGAGTATTATAACCCTGCAACTCGCCAAGTTTTATATAATGCTCAAAGTGTTTAGAACTTTAGACATCATATTCAAGGGGTTAAATCACCGTACTCAAGGGGTTAAATCATGGTATTTTAAGGGGTTATGACATAGCAATCAAGGGGTTAAATCATGGTACTCTAGGGGTTAAAACTACACGGAGACTCTAGTTAGACGCGTTCACTTAACATAATCATAAGAAAATATATTTGTTAACGTATTTTCACCTTTTACAGCTGTTAAGTGAACATATCTTGCTAAGGTTAGATCTGGTCAGTTCGATGTAATTTTTTTTTTCACCGTAAGATCCTCTGTGAATCTTTGACTTTTTTCATTTTAATAGAATTGTATTTAAATCATGAACAGTAACTAAAAGGTTGGCGAGAATTAGTAAACGTTTTGGTGCCGTGACTTATGTTTGGCCGCCGTCTAAATTGTTTAACACATATCCTCCCAAAAATTATCGTTATGAACCTCTCTGTGTGTGTTTATAATTATGAATCTATTTATCCCCTCTCAGTTCTTCTGGTAGCTCATCTATTTATTTGTTATTTTTATCGGTCTATTCATCTTTCTCTTAATCTGTATATCCATTTAAAGATCTTTTTATCTGTTTGTGTATTTGTCTATCCCTCTCTCTTTGCCCCCTGTTTGCCAGCTCCCTCTTTTCACTTAATTTTCATCCCTTATCATTCTTTTACTTCACAATTTCTCTCTTCTCAACTCTCTATTCTCACCATCTATATGTGAAGAAAAAAAATCGACCAAAACACCGGAATATATCAAGGCTATATGTCATAAGAAACCACTAGTAACGCTGTACCCATACCGGAACACTCAGCATGTAAACTTTGTGATAAACCTTTAAAGCATACACTTGAACACTATATTATTGAATGTGACACTGTCAAAGACTTCAGGCCACCTGGCTTATTGTATAATGAACTTTGTAATTACTTCATTGAATCAGGTGTGCTTGAGGACATTCTTGCTGTTTATCCCAAATTTGCTGCTAGCCCACACTGATTAGTCTTCAATTAGAATATGACTCCAATGTATGTGATCCACTGACCTATATATATACTGTTAATGAATATGATGTATTTCTTTGTGTATGAACCTCTGTCCTGTGTGGCAGTGAGAAGTGATACCACCCTCAGTGTCAAGACCTGACTGAATTACTCACAATAGGCAAACTGTACTACAAGCTCTGTCAATAAATTTGTTAAACTAAAAAAATTAAAAAGGCTACAGTCTTAAGAAAATGACAACCTCACCTCCGTATTATACTACACTTCTTTTTCAAATTAGGGCGGTGACGACGGGAGTGTAGAGGTGAGGAGGCTGAGGCGCTGGGGAAGATGGTGATGAAGATGGATGAAATAAACACCTCACTGGAGTGTTTATGTTCCACAACCACCAAAACCGAAAAGGAAAAGATATTTTTCCCCAGAGCAGTAATCCCTGATGACAGATGTGTGCGAGAGAGTGTCGTGACGGCGGCTTCGGTTTCCCGGTTCCTTCACATTCCATATGTATTTTTTTCCCTCGTTAAATAAATTCATGTTTTAATTTATATATATATATACTAAACTTACTATATATAAATGAAATCAATGTATCTTTGAAGAGATAATAAGTCTGTAAATCTCCTAAGAAATCGAAGACGGTTCCAATGTCGTCTTACACTAAGCTCTTCGCCTACACTTTCACGAGCCGATTACCTACAAAGATTCAATTCCCTTTCCAACAGAATCTCAGCCCTGAAATATTTTTGGGTAGTCTTTTCTTTACCGCTTATTTTCACAGTTGCTTCCCCGCGTAAACATCGTTAATACCGGGGAGGTTAACAGACTCCTCCATCATAGCCTAAAATCGTACTTTGAATATCCTAGTCTTGAATAACTCTTTTATTTTTCATGATTAATTTCTTGGTCCTCTTTAATTTAACCTAACGAGCGGCTTCCCCGGCCTACCCTTGCTGATGAATGCAAAATATATAATGCAGACAAACACATCACTTATTACTTAACGTCTTCCTAGGCATATTGAATCATACAGGTGTAATTAAATATATGACCCAGTAGGTTAAGAATTTGGTGAAATGATTTGCTGATCAACACAAAATAGCCTCATCTTGTGTTTAAATCCAGTACCAGATAACTACTAATTCCCACGACGTTCTGGAACAAGATGGTCCAGAGTACTTAGCTACAACAGTTCTTCAAAACATGTGTGAATAACAATTACTACTACTACTACTACTACATTGCTGTCACTCGGAATCGAATTTGACAATGATATGAGTTATTAGGATGTCACCTTCGTTGGTGAGCTTTGAGGTGACTCGAGAGGCCTTGGGCGATAATCTTGCCAGCTATGGACAGCAGCGAGATCCCACGGTAGTTGCCACAGTCTGACCGGTTTCCCTTGTTCTTATAAATATTGACAAAGGAGGCGTCTTTAAGAGCTTGGGGATTTCCTCCTTTTCCCATATATTCTCCAGGAGAGAGTAGAGACGGCTGGTCAGCAGAGGTCCTTCGGCTTTACACACCTCGGCTGGGATTCCATCAGGCCCCGAGGCTTTGTTATTTTTTATGTTTGATGACAGTAATAACAATTATACAGTACACGTAATAATAACACTTCTTCAGTATACGTAATAACATTTCTACAGTACACTCAACCTTTTAGATTAGTTGGTGAGTGGTTTGTTTATTTGCGACAGAAACGTAATAAAACAATTTACTTTTCTCTTTATCTTTCCTATATAAATAATAATATAAGGTTCTAGGGTAGACCTTTTCCGAAAATAACCATTATTATTATTATTATTACTATTATTATTAGTAGTAGTAGTAGTATCACTACACTAATAATTAGGAAGACATGAAAATTACCCCCCTTCCCCCCCCCCCAAGGTAGCGTGGGGGTGGTTAAACTTCAGGTGAGATAAGCTTTGAGAAACCATCTGTCATCTCCATGGTCTGGCAGACCTACTTATTCAAACAACAAATTCACTTAATTCACACTAGAACAAGCGTAAGTAACACTAAGACGATGACAGTGTATAACTAGAGGGTTAGGTTAGGTCTGGTCTAGTTAAAAGACAAACATTTAAAACCTAACACAACCTCACCCAACCCAGCCTAACTTGTTAATGGTATTTAAATAATGTAAGATTTTTTTTCCTAGGCAGAATTGTAACTTTTTGTGACCTTGTTGTATATTGTTTCTGTTGTGTTGGTTAAAAGTTAGACTGAACAACTTAAGCTGGGGAAGGCAATCTTCAGGTGCGCGCCGTATACTGACTAATGAGTTACCCCGTCACATGAAGATTCCCCCCCCCCTCCCCCCTTCCCCACAGGTAATGTCGGGAAGGGTTAAACTTGAGGTGGATTAAGCTGAAGGAGGTCGAATGTTGAGGTGAATACTTTGGGGGGACCAATCTTCAGGCGATCCAATATTATCTTATTGTTATCATCAATATCATGTCTCTTCCAGCTAAGGTCAAGCGGTGGCCAGGAGACAGCTCAGCCCTCTCCACTCAACAGGACCAAAAGGTTCTTGAAGACATATCAACTTCCTGGAGGAAGAAGAAAACTTAGGAGAAAGAAGAAACGGAGAAGACAAAAGAGGAAGAGAAAAAGAACGAGACACCTCAGAGGCGGAAGCTCAAGACGTAAACAACGTCACCGAGGCCATCTACCCCCCTCCCCCTCCACCCCACCCCATAGTCCCTCTCCACCACACCCCAGAGCCGCCCTCACACCCTGGATGCCACACAAGACCAGACTCGTAGAGCTGCTCACGGGAGGCAACGATCAGTTCCTAGTGCAAGAAACAAGGGCTTCGGCTTCCATGAAGCGGAGTCGAGTAGATGGTTCAGACGGGACGGGTCGACTCCCAAGAAGGGACATGAGCCAGTTCCTCTTCCCGCTTGAAATTGTCAATAGCGAGAGCTTGACTTGGCTGCCCTACAACCCGGATATAAGAGTCAGTATCCATGTTGTTGGTGGAGGTGATGTGGACGACCACACACCGCTACCAGCCCACAACTGGGACGACTACACGTCTTCACCTCCACACAACAGGGACGACCCAGAGTCCCAGACTCATCAACGACAAAATAAATCTAAAAGTAAGTACCTGAGAAAGAATTTGTCAGATGACAACATCTAGAAGTAAAGAGAAAGATAACCATTAATAAGTTTCGTCAGACCTTCCCTTTCAGTCAGCGTTTCCACTTACTATTACAAAACGTCTCACCTTCTCTATTCTGTTGTCCACATTGGCTCTACACTTACCCCTGTGTTTTTAGTTTCACTAGAAAACTTTTTCAACATCTTCCTTTTAATATAATATTTATGACCGACTGTGAAATTTATTTTTAACTTAATTTCATGATCTTGGCGTTCACACACCACCAGCCATACGTTCATCTGGAAATAGTCCAACACGACCATCATCCACCTTCAGTAAACCCGAGCTTAAAAAACAAAAGGCTCTCACTTTTGTCTCACATGTATGCTACCCAACAAAATGTTTAGCTGCATCTACTCAGCCTAATGCTTTCCTTTTTTGACCTGACTGGTGGTGTTGTTTGCGCGTGAGGAATATATTTTCAAGTGCAGCTTAAAGCTGCCAGTGACTAAAAATCAATCATACTTTTACTTTTATCCACTTCGCCACTGATCGGCTCGTTAGCCACTTGGGCGATCGTCACGTCTCTGTTACGCACTGTTGGCAAGTACTGGGCATGAACCGGCTCCTGAATATATCTGAACCTTCTCCAGTGTTGGTCAAGTCTGGTCTTGAAAGAGCTCACACTCGGTGCCGTCACAACACTCTCTGGTAGATTGTTCCAAGAGTTTACAACCCTCACTCCGAAAAAGTTTGTCCTCACAGTTTTCTGGACTTGTGGCCTCGCCAATCTTGAGCTGTGACCCCTTGTGGGGCGGAACTCCGCCAGCTCCAAGTAAGGACACTCGGCTGAGTAGTGCCCCTTGAGATGCTTATACACCTGAATTAGGTCCCCCCTTGCCGCCTGTAGTATAAGCTAGGCAATTGCAGGTGTTTTAAGCTCTCAGGGTAGCTGAGGTGCTGTAGCACAGGCACCAGTCTGGTGGCCCTTCGTTGGACATTTTAAATCAACTGACAGTCCCTAGCATATCTCGGGGACCAGACGGGGTGACAGTACTCCAGATGGGGAAGCACTTCACACTTGAATAACGTCACGAGGGACGGACCGTCTAGATATCTGAACGACCTCCTTATAAGACCTACTGGTTTAGTTGCTTGACTCACCTTCTCACAATGGCCCGAGAACTTCATAGTTTTTATCTACGCCTATCATTGAATTCAATTCGATCACCTCCATACTTCATCCTTCTCATCAACATTATTTTCAGTTATGGACACATTAGACATATTAACATGGAAAACATCTTTGTTGCTACGGCGCCACGACACGGAGTATACTGTACAGAGAATTCATTTTTCACGTAACAAATTCTGTTTTATCTTAGAGCATTATGTTTCTCCAGGGGCACAAGTCTCACATGATCTAGGCTTTCGGTACTTTCTGGAGGAATTTTGTGTGATGACAACAAGATCCCTCTACAGTAGTTACCTTTATGGCACGGAGGAGGAGACAACCTCTTCTCTCACTACAAAAATTCAAAACAAGTTTCTTAAATTTGTTGAGGGGGTTACAAGGCTATCAGCTGTTCAAAGATAACATAATTCTGTTTATGGTAGTGTATGTATGTATGTAGGTCTAAAAACTAGTGCAATGCCAATTTACCCCTTGTACAACAATACAGGTGTCGGGACATAACACTATACAGGTTACCAGGACACAGCAACACGAAAGAACAAAACAATTTCTGTCGTGATTATTAACATCTTGAGGGAGTAACCTTCATCTGCCAGCCAGGGTTATGCTAACACTTACAGTACGCAGTTCACTCATCACCTCCAAGATGTGAATAATCTCCATAGAGCTTGGATTTTGGTCTTGTTTATATCTCCTGACACACACACACACACACACCTCTGATATTGCCCCTTTAACTAAGCCATCAAGACTAATTTCAATTGAGAGCAGGTATATTCTCAGGTGGGGGAGCCGACCTGTACAACGAGAACCATGATAGCGGAGATGAGATGAGCGTCACACCCACCACTCCCTTCCTCACCACCACCTCTCGCCTGCACCCCTATATCATCACCCCACAGGTAAGTGCTCTTAATTACTACCTGTTCCTCTTCATCCCTTACCTTTTAACACACTCCTTCACCATCACAACAAATGACTCTATCTTTCCTTAATATTCGTCAAATGATAATAACAGCAGTACTGTATTGTATTAATAGTAAGATAACCATAGCACGAATTCTTATCTTTTGTTTAAAATGTACTTAAGTAAGAATTATAATATAGCCTTGACAATCAGTAAGACTGTATATACTTAAATATTAGGAAAATCTCATTATAATCAAAGCAGTGAAACATTAAACTATGCGTGGAAAGCAATCTTCAGTGCACACTCAGCCAGACACGAAAAAACTACAGTCAGTACCAACCATCTCATTAAAAAAACATTCACTAAACTAACAACATTGGCTATATCATTTTCTTCCCGTAGAATTTATGATATTCCTATTTTATCTTTCATGTGTTATAATACTGAAGCTGTGGAGTATATACGCTACTCATGGGGGTCAAATCCTGTACCTTTCATTTTGTCTCATGAATATACCCTGAGAATTATGTAAAAATAGAAATAAAATCTAATCACCCTGTACAGTATATAAAATGTGTGTCTGTGTGTGTTACCAGAGATAATTGCTAAGAACACAAGGGGGCAAGACCAAGTTATCAGACATTGCTAGGAACACAAGGGGGCAAGATCAAGTTATCAGACATTGCTAGGAACACAAGGGGGCAAGACCACGTTATCAGACATTGCTAGGAACACAAGGGGGCAAGACCAAGTTATCAGACATTACTAGGAACACAAGGGGGCAAGACCACGTTATCAGACATTGCTAGGAACACAAGGGGGCAAGACCAAGTTATCAGACATTGCTAGGAACACAAGGCAAGATCAAGTTATCAGACATTGCTAGGAACACAAGGGGGCAAGACCAAGTTATCAGACATTGCTAGGAACACAAGGGGGCAAGACCAAGTTATCAGACATTGCTAGGAACACAAGGGGGCAAGACCAAGTTATCAGACATTGCTAGGAACACAAGGGGGCAAGACCAAGTTATCAGACATTGCTAGGAGTGGATTATGAAGGTCGTACCAACATAATAAATAACGGACCGACCTCCTGAACGGTTAATAAGCTTATTATTGGTGGAAAGGACGAATGAATAATTAAAGAGGTTTTGGAAATCAAGATATATAAAAAAATTAATAAGCTGTGCCATTCCTTATAATTTTTTAGGTATCTCTTTCCTCATGGCCGAAATGACATGTGGATCGTAACCGACAAACTGTGAGAAGTTTTAATTGTCTTTTATCTTTCTTGTTTATACATCTGTTTTACATTAGTGGGTAGAGATAATTTCGTTTTCTTTACATACGCTAGGAGTCTATTGTTACGACCCGCCTCCTTTCCCCACTGGTTACCAACGGCCAGGGTCGAGTGTACAGAAGCAATAGATATCTCACAAGTGTCAAATTACCACTGGCTGTCCCGCCAGTCTCCGGTAATTTCCTGACGATCGGTATCATACGGACAAACAACAGGCCGGTAGATTTCCACCAGGTCACAGAAACACACTTGGGCACTGTAGTCTTCTTTAATAAGCATTTATTCTTCACAACACTGTTCACAGGGTACGTCCTCACAGCTGGACTTTTCACTTCGACTATATAGTCAGCACACTACCAGTGGACAATTCCTGAGTTTTTCACTTTATATTGCTCACAACAATTTCATAATACTTGCACAACAATTATCTTCAGTTGTCTTGCTATACTTGTACTTCACACTCTGAGCAGAAACAGTCGACTCACTCCTAGCTTTCCAAGTTCAGAAGCTTCATTGATTAAATTAATACTCCTAGCCTGCTCGCGGGTGTTTTTATACGGCTCGACTAACGTAGCACAACCCAGATAGGTATGGGAAGTTCTAGTACGTTTTACTCTGATAGAGGCTTACAATAGGAAGTAAATCATAACAAAAATGATGCAATACTGTACATTCTAGAAAATTCTTACATAAGTAATAAATTAATATACAGTATACAAGAAAATCTCCCTAAACTTGCCAAAATAACTGCTGCTTGGGACAGAAAATAATCAAAACACGTACAGTAGTTTACAAACATTATAATACCAAATTATGCCTCGGCGTAACAATATGACTAGGCTGAGCTGTGTACGGGTCACTCCTACTTGTCTAACAATTACAGGTCACAGATGAGAAGGATCCTGGGATGGTAGAGAATCCAAGGAAGAAAGAGAATGATAACCAGAGACGAAGAGAAGAGAAGAGAAGAAAGAAAAAGAGAAGAAAGTTAGAGAGAGATAGAGACGAAGGCGAAATAGTGGAAGACAAGAAAAGAAATACAGGACACAGTGGCAGTTGGAATGACAAGATGAAAGACACAAAGAGAAGAGAAGATGTCAATGAAGATGAAAGAAAACAAACGAGAAGGCGAGGGAGGGTGAGAGAGGACAAGCAGAGAAGAAATAAAGGAGGGAGACCCAGAGGAGAAAAGAAGGAGGCAGGCTCAACACAGGACCTGATGTTGGGGTTGGCTGAGGCCCTTGAAGAGCTCCTCAGCACCGACCACCACCAGCTAGACCACCCGACTGCTGCTGTTCCTGTTGGTAAGTACTGCTGCTGTTGTTTCTGTTAATGCCTAAAACTGTTCCTTTACAATGACAACATCAACTCTACATAATTATATCGTCTCTACCTCAATCCCTACAGCCACCCAAGTACTACAGTCAGATACACCTTTAATGTTTTATCTCACTGTAGGTATATCTGACTTGTGGCTACTCATACACATTACCTATTGAAATTTACTTTGTATGAGTTATTTAAGGATGCCTAAGAGAAACGGATGGTAAACTTCTAACTAAGGAAAACAAATCTCTTTCTAGGGGTAACTCATTAGTTTCATAAATGTTTTGTGGACGGTGGAGCATAATATGAATAATTAAGTGTTGATTATACTAGCCGTGCTATTGTGACCATGACCACTGCTATGATCATCACCACTCCTACTTCGTCTACCACCACTACCACCATCCAGACTTTTGTCACTACATCTGTCATGCTGCGTTTGTTATTGCTGGCTTGTCTATTCCTACTATGTTATTGCTGCTAATGTTACTGATTCATATACTACAAGAGACTCGTTTACTGTTATCATTACAACTACCATATTATTACTGCGACCACTTCTATTCTTGCTACAGGGGAGGAGGACCCGTGCACAGTGTGGTCGACGTGTCGTGTGGAGGAGGCATTGCAGGAGCTGGCTAACCTGGGCTCCCTGCCGTCGTGTCCATGTCTGTACCCAGCCGACCTACCTTACCATCACCACCTCTATGACCCTACACATCGCGCCCCCTTCAGGTATGGGTTGTACTGTACCTCCCCCCACCCCCTGCCCTAAAAAAAAACCTCTAACCTGATTATCCAAAGCTTTCATAAACTAGTCTCAACTTAACCTGAAAAAAACACATCTAATATTACCTTTCTTTAGGCAACCTAACCTAACTACACTTAATCTAACCTTACATATTATAACCAGGGATGTGATTGAGTCTTGGAGAAACTTAAAAAAAAAAAAAAATATTGAGCTGCAGGGTCCGGGGAAGTTAAGTTTTATTCTTAGTTTTAATTGCACCAGCTAGTTTTTATTTTCAGGGAGAGTAAATGCTTCTGTTTTTATTGCTGGATATGACTCATTTACAAACCTTTCTCAAGAAACTTGCAAGAGGGGTGTGGTTATCTATGCTAGGCAAGACCTTAGAGCCAGCCAGGCGAGGGTACAGGGAGAGGATGTTTTTGAAGAGTCCAAGTGGTGTAAAATTAAATTAAAGGGAGGGGACTTACTTATTGTTGGGTGTATCTAAAGATGCCCAAACTGTGGCCCACTAAATCAAAGGAACTTAAGAGCCTTACTAGACACCGCGGCGATGCTCAACCCTAGCCACCTCCTTATCATGGGGGACTTTAACTATGGCGACATCGACTGGAGAAACGAGTTCACCCCAAATGACTTGAATAACCTTGCTACTCTTTTTGTAGAAACTCTGAGAGATAATTTTCTGTTCCATCATGTTAGAGACCCGACACATTACAGAGGGGAGCAAACACCCAAGCCACTAGACCTCATCATAACAAACAAGGAGGGTATGGTGGCCAAACTGGAACACCTTGCCCCAGTTGGCACCAGTCACCATATAGTGTTGTCATTCAGATTTAACTGTTACCTAGTTCAAGATAAGGCCAGGCCAAGGTGCAAATATTACAAGGGAAATTACAAAAAAGGGATGAGGGAAGAGATGAGGGGTATCCACTGGCCTGACTCATTAAGGCACAAGAACGCAGACACTACGCTGAATATCATAACTAGTAAAGTGACCCATTTGATCAATAAATATATACCCAAGACCAAACCCAGTGCCTCTAGGAATGCGAGGGGATCCCTACACATGAACCATGCGGCGGTCGACAGAGTTAAGAAGAAAACCCAGAAATTCAAGACGTAGGTTGGGTCAAACGATGAGCAGGATAGGAGGATGTATGCAAGAGCCAGACACCAAGCAAAGATAGAGTGTAGAAGGGCTGAAAAGGAGTTCCAGAGGCTGGTTGCAAGCGAGGTCAAGTCAAACCCAATGACATTTTACCGCTATGCAAAGTCAAAATTAAAAACGCGAGTAGGAGTATCAGATCTGAAGCTTGAAGATGGTAGTTACGCAGATTTTGACCAGGATAAAGCTGAGGCATTGAACAGCTTCTTTTCCTCGGTGTTCACAAGAGAGGATGCGATTAACCTTCCTGCGTTTGAGGACAGACGGTTCAACACAGCACTGACCCACATTGTGTTCACAGAAGAGGGTATTAGAAATAAACTGTCAAAGCTAAAGACCCATAAGAGAGTTGAGGAACGAGCTTGCCGAGCCCCCAAAGATCCTGTTTTGTAAATGCCTGGATGAACAAAAGGTCCCCAGTGAATGGAAAGTGGCTTAGCTACTTTTTTTCCACGTTCTCTCGCAATTGCAGCATCAGTTGTTGCAATTTATCACTTTGAGTGTGCTGTCGTTCTGTCATAATGGGCCGTTGAATCTTGTTTAATTAGTTGGTATCCACCTAACTTGTTGCATTCTAAGCTATTATGTGCTCAGTGAGGGCTGCCGTAAGCTTGACTGAGTTCTGATGCTCGGTGGCAGCAAGCTCCTTTGGATTGGTCATTCCCATTCCTCCCAGTCTCAGTGGTAGTACAAGAAGTGACCTTTCTGCTGGGGTTCAGTGAAATTGTTTTACTAGTAGTGTTGGAATAAAACCTACCCTGATAGCTTCTTCCAGAGGGTAGAGGAGAGGTCCGATATCAGGGATAGTGCGCATCAGGTAATTCCAGCGATGCTCGACTCCATGGGTGAATGTCGCAAAAGCCGCATGTGGCCCCATTTTAGAAATATCAGACAGAGTTTGGATTTCCTTCACCCACTCATTTACCTTTCCTGTTACTTATTCAGTCTTGAAGTCATTCATGCCAAATACTGCACCTAGATGTCTTTGGCCATCCTTTGTTATTTTGACCTCATTTCCACCGAACACCTCCATTGCCCGTTCATAATGTTCCGGCTTCACAATGAGGAAGGACTTGCTGGCATTTGGGTGTTACCCTATTTATGGACCATATGATGTTATCAGGTCTCCTCCACTTTTTAATGTCCTCCACTTTTCTTGCTCCTGTAAGGACATCAACATATGCTACTTGCTCGACCTTGGTTGTTTCAAATTTTATTGTATGTTAGAGCACAGACAGGCCTAGTTCGTACATTGCTATGGCGACAGGGTCCCCCTGCGTTGTTCCCTCAGTCGACAGTATGGTGGTATCACCTGTTTTGGCCTTGAAGCTTGTTATATAGAGATCTGATGAGTTCCTATTTTTGCTTTCAACATACATTGCAAAGCTTGGACACTTAATCTTGATGTTGTGCAGTGTGGCCTGGCGGTTGATTATGTTGCATGCAATGGAAGTAGCAACCAGGAGTACAGCCTTACAATCATGCTACTCCAATATCTTTCTCATGGCGTGAATGGCAGCTTCCCCTCCAGCCTGGTGGCCAGCACATACTTGCAGGTTCCCTGCAGCTGCCCTGACATCATCATTAACCACCTCCATTATGCATTTTCCAATGATCCGTCTCAGAACTTCCCCCACCCCTGTAGGCCTACATCCTGGATTTTTGTTTAGGCCGATGAGGCAGCAGGCTCGTTCACGTCACCGATTGTTAGTATACTTGCACTATCTTGTGTTACATTCTGAACCAGTGTGAATTTGTATGACAATTTGTTAAATACTGCATCCATCAGTCGTTTATTGTGACAGGTGGGTTGGTGTGAGTGGAGAGCGAGAGAGGATTGATGTGTATCACCGGGGCGCCCATCACTGTATAAGATCCCATGTCACTGCTGCCTCCCTGGCTGCCCAGACCTGCTGCTATGACAGGTTGGTCCTCGCTTTAATTTTCTATCTGCAAATTATTAAAGAAAAGGCAAGACAGTTGTTTTACCACATTGTCTCATTAGTTTAATGGATTATTCAAAGAGAGATGTATAGTAGTGAAGTACTTGTACATAAATACCTTTATTGTATTGTATTTCCTTTATGTATGAAATGTCACAGATTAATTTTGGAAGAGGAGATGTGCAGGGAGATAATTTTATTGGGAGGTGTAGCTACACTAACTTTACAGTAATATGTTACTATTGTGTTGCCACTACTGTACATGCATAAGTCACCTCAGTAAAGGTTTTATGATATTCTCTAAGCCCTCTGTCCATGTAACACTCTCAAAACATTGTTAAAAAAACTTGACATGACAAAGAATTCTAAAATGTTAAATATAAATAATATCTTTGCTTATATCCTATAAGAGTCCTCTACTTTATTCATATTATAAGAGCAGGTCCTAATTCATGTAACCTAACCATGACACAGAATTATGAAAATTATAAAATGATCATTTAAATTCTAATAATGTTTAATAGTTTTCAATATTCATACAAGATCAAGCCCAATCCTTATAACCTAACCAAAATACCTTATAAGAACCTCTTTTTTATGTATCACACTACCAGTTCCCAGTTCATAAAGCCTAGCCATGACAAACAAAGCTTAGAATTATAATTTGAACACTAAAGCTTATATCTGTTAAGAGCTTAGTTCACATGAGCCAACTATGACATAACTTCTCAAATTTATGTTCTCAGAGAGCGAAATCTCTTAACACGAGGGAGTGGTGCTGGCAGTCCAACTTTGGTGAGTCCAGAGGTCAACTTTGCTTTGCACCGGCAGGTTGACATCCTCCCTTGGTTGGCTTGCAGAGGAAATTTTCTCAGGTATTTCACTTAGTTGTTACTGACTTTCCTCATATACTCTAAAAAGCTGTATTTTTTGACACGATAGGCCTTCCCTTCGAACATTTTCATTATACCTTGTACTGTAACTTCTTTTACATTCAGGCCGCTCATTTTTTCTACCTGTAATTTCTTTATTCTATAGTACAGCGTCTTTATTCCATATTCTGTACCAACAGATACCAAACAGTTCGACCACCCAACAATGGCCAAAACTGTTCCATCAACCCTGTTGATAATAAATACCAGCAGCAAGTGAACATGGCCACTGACTACTGAAAACTGTCAGCCCTCCAACATACCACTCTCTATCAGCACAAGATACAGTACTACACCCTAATGATCCAGGGTTAGTGGTATTAGGTTCAGTCACCCAATTAAAGGGACACAAGGAGAAGGTAACCACTTCAAGAGTGGATGGCATCCTCCTATGGAGTAAAATTAGACATAGTCTTTCACATGAAAGAAATATAGACATGTGCATGTAACAATAGTCAACTTTCTTACTCTGTTGGGCTCAGCATCAAACCTAGAGTCTCAGGACATAAACACTGAACTTCCCCAAGGGTCATTACCTGTGTCATAGTGTCCCCTAGTCATAATCGTCATAAAGGATAGTTGTCATTATATGACACACTGCATCCAACAAAGTTCATCAGTTTGATGTATCATCTGCAATTTAGTACAGTCCAGTACTGTAGTCCAAGTTTTCTTTCACGAAAACCACCATTAACTGTCATTGGCAATTCTACACAAGCTAGTTTTGCCATTCCTTGATATATTTTCCTTTCCTATTTCTTTCTACCAACTACTACTGCTGTATTACCTAAGTAATGCAGTACTGTATTGGATACAGGAGTACTGTAGAGTATGTTACAGTAGCCCTATGAGCAAAATTATGCCGTGTTGTGACCAGAAAGTGCACACAGGTACAATTGAGAAGTTGTATGTGTGGAGGTGCATTAGTGAGTGGAAATGGTAATTTCACTGAGCAAGTCAGTTTAATGAGCAAGAAGCCAAATGACAATGTGAAAGTCCTAATTCACTTTGTCCAAGTTAATATAACTCAAGAGTTGCTGGATTTACCAGTACAATATTTAATTTAATTTTTTAGTAGCCTAGAAATTCCTAGCAACCACAATTCATTTACTTATTTATTTATTATTTTGGAAGCTTGAGGCACCGCTGTTGCCCCATCTGCTGGGAAAATAAATACTGTTAGTAGGTAAATAGAGCCTCTAATCTTACTCTACACAGACTTACTTATATCCTTGGTTTATATTGTACTACAGTAAAGTATCTGTGAACCGAAAAGTTTGGGACCAAGAGGTTTCCACAGAAAAGATTATTACATAAAATGGATACTGTACTATCATGAACACATGTCTAAGGAAACCATGTAATAAACCATAGAACTTTTGTCAGTTTGGTTATACAATATAGTACTATTAGTTTCTGCAATAACCTGCACATTAATTTCATTACTTTTTAATATTTTCAAAGTTATTAAGTTGATACATAAGCTTTCAATATGTCACCATTCTCCTACACTCACCATATAACGTATTCCTCAAACTCATGTGAAGACAAGTGCTGTACACAGACCCCTCACTCAAACCACCACACACACAGTGACTGAGCCAGTTGCCTAGTTTCTCCTTATTTGTGATCATGTAATATGTAGAAAATCACACAAAAGAAAATTATTCTATTGTATATCCTTAAATTTCATCTTTAGAATGCTTAGCTCTTCCATAAAATAGATTATTTTATGAAGTAGATTTTCGGTTGACATATACTTTACTGTGTACAGCATATGCAACCCATAAAAATATCAACATGATAGTACCGACAAAGACCATTAGCTGTAAATAGTCTGCCAGGTTACTATTGTATATTTATTAGTACGGTATACTGTACAGTAAACCCTTGCGATTCGCGATCTGGACAATTTGTGGTAAGCAAATAGTGGCTATGGTGGCTAGCTTGTGAGCCTCTCCTGCAGTCACCCCCACAACATCTCATCTCAATCTGTTCGTGCTCAACCATTGCCTACAACACAGCATCTCTTGTGTTGTACTCTCAAAACTTTAGTGTTTCTGTGTGAAAATGGACCCTAAAAGACTACCAAGTGTCAGTGCTAGTGATGCTAGTGGAGTGAAATGTAAAAGGCAGAAGTCAGTGATGACCCTGACAAAGACAGTTGAATTAAGTATTAGACAAGTTAAAAGAAGGGACGAGCGCTGCCACAGCTGGTCAGTTGTTGGGTCTAAGAAATCAACTCGGTATTGGTTCCCTACCAGGAAATGATTAAGGACCTTAAAGCCAAGAGGAAACAACTACCAATCACTATTTGTTTCAAGAAAGAACCAACCACTCATTCAGCTGATTTGTCTCCCTCCCTCCCTCCCTCACTCAGTCAGCTGCTGCCGCTCCACCACCCTCCTCCCGGCCATGCGCCTCTCCACCACCCACCTCTCCACCACCTGCCTCTCCACCAACAGTGATACTGATGATATCCCTATGCTTCAGTAACCAGATATCTCCCTATGTACAGTACATCACTTCACCAAGCTCTAAACTTCCACATTTGAATGTAAGTAGTATTGGTGACTTAAGTTTCTCAAACACAGTATAGGTATACAGTAGTGCACTTAGCTACAGTAAAACGTCTAAAAACACGAGATACGTTCCAAGAGAGGTCGCTTTAAACCGAATTCGCACTAAATCAAAGTGTTGTTTCAATGGAATAATTTAGTTTGGTACTTGAGAGAAACACAAAATACTAAAAAGACTGAGAGTTTACCCAGATGCACCTCAGCCCATCTCCTAGAATAAACAAAACATTGTTTTTTGTAGTATTATGTTAAAACAAACACTCATAAATCAACACAGCTAAAATTATGGGACGTGAAACGGTCTGTTTACTAGTGATCAGCTGATGGGAAGATGGGGGGGGGGAAGAGGTGATATGTTTGACAGTTGATGCCAAGGTCTAGTGCTTATTTATTTATCTGTCCTTAAGAGTGACTTAGTTTTTTCTCTTATAAAATGTCACAGAAGTGACCAGGAAGAATATAATTTACATTGCTGGAATTCTTATAAGATAGTGATTAATTTGAATATAAACATGCTATAGTTTGCATTTGCACTAGACAAAACTTTTAGTAATCATTTAGTACATTATTTTGAGTACATGTACAGTACAGTATTGCCCTTAGGACAGTGTAGCGTGCCCAGAGAAACATTAGGCGCAAATTTTAAAATATGATGCGCCTGATTGACTCGCTCAAAATAGGAAAGATTTGCTTTAAATTAAAACATTGCCCTTAATTGTGGGTGTCGCTTTAAATCAATAATCTTAAATTGAATCGCTTTAAATCGACATTCTACTGCAGTACAGTATAAGTTTCCTAATTGTGGTTCTGCCAATTTGCGCCATTTCTTGGAACCTATCCCTCAAGGATGGCAAGGGTTTACTGTACTGTGTCTTCTCACTGATGAACACCGATTGAATTATCAGTAGTTAATAAGCCTTCTTCTCAAAACATTTATTTATCTGTCCCATCACTGATCCTACATTAAATAACTATCCTTTATAATTTAACAAGGACCCGACTCCCTCTTCTTAGGAAATGTTCTTCACCAACTACTGTACTGTTTCTTAGTCAATACTGTATTTATAAACATGTAAACACAATGTTAGGAGAAGTTTACTCTGTAGTCAGTAGATTTATAACGTGCATGTAGGTAATGATGGCAGAAACATTTACACAATTAATGAATATAGAAGTCAGAGTTGGCTTTAAAATCACTAGGGTTTTTATTTCCAGCGGCAATTCTGATTACAGTGCCCTGCTTGTTGCCTATTAGTCGTAAAATAAGAGTGCATAGAGTAATAAGTCGCGCTAATTGATGCAAAGAAGGTGTGAGTTATAAGATTATTGTTCCCCATAAAGTTATTATAAGTCTGGAAGTTACAGAAAAATAATTTGAAACATTTAGATTCCATAAAAAACAGAAATAGACATAATAAAAACAGTACTCGTATATGGTATTGTACCCTGTATAGAAAGATGAGCTACCCTAACCAAACCTAACTTACCTACAATACTGTACAATAATTCAAATATGATTAAATGGACTATCATTGTCTTCATTGGTTTTCAAATACATGCACAGGTATTTCTCCTAAGTTTATGAGGATGTATTCAAAATCACCTCAGTCACTTTCATAATTGTTAACTTACAAACTTCATGCAGGAATAATTATGTTATATGGTACCTGTACTGTACTGTAAGTGGCAAAAAAATCAAGCCTAATTTCTATCCTATTTTGTCAATATTTTCCTCAGTTATATTTTTGTGTGTGCACTTATTAATACTGTACAGTAATTTACAACATAAAGTATCAATAGTTGTGAATAACCAAACAACTATTGTATTAAGGTCACTCATCAGAACATGATGCATAAGGCTGCTTGGTAGTGATGGCCTGACACTGAAGACAGCATGTGAGTGACACGTGGGCCCTGCTATCTATTGATACTCAGGAAATTCCTGAATAAAACAGTATACAGGTACACGCTTTGCTAACATATGATACCTTTATGTTAACTTACAAATTGCACCCATGAACTCGACACACCTGTACCTGTGTATACTGTATTAATGAAAGTTATTATTTACAGAATCAACTGCTTATTATGGATACAGTAATACTAAATTATTATGTTCAACTGATCAGTTAAATGATTTTTTAAATGTACAACTTATGGGGTTTTGATTGTAATACAGTAGTACAAGTACTGTACTGTAAATGAGGGATTACAAGAAAAAAAATGCCACCAGGGAACCTGTCTAGTCTCTGAGTTGTAAATTATGCACAGTAGTTACAATAAAGTATTCAAAAGCAACAAATTTATCTTTGTTCCACATAACCTTTAATCACAGTTTTAACTCAAACATATTTAACATTTCAGGTTTAGTTGTGTATTAAAGGAGAAAGCTGAGAAGACTTTAACCCTAATTTTCCAAAATAACAACAGCTGAAAATCTTGCCATATAATCCTTCGTTATTGTTCAAAATAAACAAATATGTACTGATGCATAATACTGCTGTATAAAAGGATTAGTGCCACCACTCACAAGCATCACAGTACATTCGTAAGTCAGACATTCATAAGTCGGGGCCCCCTGTACACAATTCACCATAAATACAAGTAGCTGTGACCTTGTTATGTCAAAACTACCTCCCCCCCCCCACCAAAAGTGGAGCAGGTGAACACTATAGATACAGATGTCAGTGAACAGATTCAGCATGGATACAATGTATGTGTGTGTGGACATATGTACACAAGGTAGGACATTTGGTACCATTAAAAAAATTATGTACAGTACCTGCAGATGTGGATATTGGCTGTACCATATTGCCTCACTAGAGACCACTGTAAACATACAAATTTCTTACAAAGTCTGTTTTATAATGACATATCATCAGTATACTGTATATTTTATTGTTCTATAAGTTCTGTTCAGCAGAGGAAGCATATCAGAGCAATATTTCAATACTGTACATCTTAATTGGTTAATCCAAGTCCACTTGTCAGAATACAATCTGTGTTAAATGTGAGCATCAAGTAACCCAGGAATCTGTTCAGAAGGTCTGGACCTCTATGGTGAGTGATACTTAGCAATAAGGTTCCACTGCAAAAATAACCTAACCTAACCCAACACTTACATTAATACAAATACTTGAAACATCTCAGATTTGTAATACAGTATATTAGGCCAGTGCCAGCAATCAAGTCAAACTGGAGGCAGGGAAGATGGGAAGTTGACAAGATATAAATTGATTTTATATTTCTAGACATTTTTCATCAAAATACTGTACAAGTAATCATGTACCACATCTACATTTTATAAAGTTAAAATAATAATCCATCATTACCCTACAGTTAGGTTCTGACTGATATAATACAATGGTGAAAGTCTTAACAACATACTCCCATTGTGTGCTCACCTCAGACAGAAAACAAACATTTGACACTTAGCCAATGTCCATAAAAGGTGGCTCATAGTAGGACACACTGTAACAACTGGACATTATTGCACCTCCATGCCACTAAGGCTCTTATACATGAATCCACATAATGCAAAACCTGCATTTTATTATAAACGTGAGAAATGAAACAAAAAATTTTGTTTTACTTTATTGGAAAAATAAAATCTTTGCCATAGAAATAAGTTTCTAATTTTGTACACAGACAAATATATGCCAATGTACTGTACTTATTTCCCAACTGGCAAATACTTGAAGCTACCAACTGAATAAAACTTTAATATATACGGTAATAGTTATGAATTTGTTTAGATTATGTTACACATCGCATAAGGCACATTATCACTGATCATTCTTTAACAATATATTGTACTGAACATATCACAATACACTGTACTGTACTGTACTGAACATACCAAAAGTTTGTTCAGTATTAATTACGGTAAATTAGATTCATGTACCTGTACCGTACTGGCTTATGTTCAGTGACATTAAATGATGAAATTAGGTGATTAATTAGTGTTGTCATAAGTATAAAAATAATATAAAATCTAAAAAAATCATTACATAACTGAAGATTCTATTAATGTCAGTTTTATCAGAGGAAATATACAACATTGGCCTGACATAGTGTGAAGCCCTGAGAGACCATAGCTTGTTGGACCAAGTGGAAAGTGACGGATGATTCACAAGTCTTATAGAGCAGCAACTTTGTGTAAGAATCTGTTACAATGAATAAGGAAAAGAAATACACACATGAAATAAAAGCTTTGTACTGTATAATGATGTTTATCTTATGATGTGTGTTTGTTCCAATGTAAAAAAGAAAACAATAACAACTATATTATGATAATAAACAAGTGTTGTAGATAAAACTTATAGTAATATAAAATTCAAGGATCAAAGGTTGTAGAGTACGGTCAAAATGATGTACAGAGTACCTATTATTTCGTTACGTTATGATCGTCATCGGAACGGCTTATTTCAGTTACACCTTTGGGTTGTATTCAAGAATATGGAGCATAGAGTATCCTTATATGCAATGCCTACAGTTGGTATTCAATAAGTGTAGTGAAAGCCCACGGCGTGGTGAATGTTTACGGATATTCGTAGGGATTGTTTATGGATGACCGGAATGTTCATGAGAAATTGGAGGGCGCCCTAAGGAATCTATGTTCATTATTTATACATTTACCACCATCTATATACAGTACATGTTTGAATATAATTTTTTTTTTTTTTTAAATAATGAGATAAATCTAGCTCATTTTGGGGAACCATGCTGGTGTTTAAAAAACTATTTTACAATACAGTATTTATCAAAGTAATTTCATTTACAATTCTCCTACTGGAACATTCAGATGATGGTTTGCCGCTTGGAAGAGTGAGGTCTGTATGCTTTAAGGTGCGGGTACGCTACTAGACTTCTACTTGGGGAAATACTGTAATGTAATGTAAATTTCCTGAGGCATGAATGGTTCAAAATGAATAAGCATTGCTCTTATACACCAGTAAATGTGCTGAGGCTGTCAGCTTCCAAAATTCCAAAATGATGAACCAAAATTTATCATGTTCACCAGGATGGATAGTCTACACCAGTTAATTGAATTGGAAGTGGACACTTAGCTGGGAAACCCTGACTGGGCAGACAGCAGGTTATATAGACGGAATGTTAAGTTAGGTTGGAAAAGTCATATATCTTGTTACATGAACAATATACTGTGTGAGGTTTTTCTTTTTTGGTTAGGTTAAGTATGTAAAAATTTATTCCTCTAGAATATTTGGGATGCTCTTGAGAAAAGGAAGAAATTTTCTTCTATAGAAAAGATTCCTAATGTTGTTCATTAACCCAAACACCTGTTGTAAAATTTAAAAAGTAGCTTTTTTAAAGTTTTTGATAATTGTTCGGTTTGGATGACAATGTTTTCTTATGTATATTTTAATCTTGATTTTTTTATGATATATTTTGTGCAAATCGATATTAACGGAGATATAAACATACCGTTATAATAGTTGAAAAGGCCACACCTTTTCACATGTTGGCAGCCCTGGAGCAAGATGCATGATTTGAGTCATCTAGAATACTCACTATGCTCACGGTGTAGGTGTTCCCTACGGTAGTGACTATACCCTCTGCTCCCTGATCTTGACTATGGTCCTTAGTCTGATGCATGAACAACTCCCAACAGGTGACATAACTTATTACAGGTTGACAATCCCTTATCTGAAATTCTGAAAACTAAAAAATCTGAAAACCGAGTTTTTTAGTGAAGCATTTTTTTTTTTTTTTTTTTACAGGGATTAGCCCACCGGCACAGGTCACTGACCCACATCAGGGCCTGGGGGGCTAAAATGTAGTAGTAGTAATAATAATAATAATAATAATAATAATAATAATAATAATAATAATAATAATAATAATAATAATAATAATAATAATAATAATAATAATAATAATAGTAATAATTCATAGCAAATAAAAATTTTAATACAAAATACACAAAAATATAATAATAATGATAAAAATACTAATACTAATAAAATAATAATAATAATAATAATAAAGAAATACAGGAATGAAAAAAGATCCAAAATGAGAAACACGACCTACACCTATGTATTATTATTATTATTATTATTATTATTATTATTATATTTTTGCCCCCCAGGCCCCAATGTGGGTCAGTGACCTGTGCCCGGGTGGGCTGATCCCCGTAAAAAAAATAAACAAATTAATAAAATAAAATAAATAGAAAAATACCCCCAACCTAACCATTCTGAAATCAGAAGCACATCTGGCCACAAGGATTTCAGATAAGGGATTGTCAACCTTAGTATCAGGAAGTTAATATTACTGGTTCTCGCAAATCCCACTTGACTTATAAAGATAAAAAAAAAATTCTGCTTAAGCATCCAATGAGTCATCTTTCCACTTTGCCACAGACAGAAATCACTCCAGGCTACCTGCCTCACTGCTGTATGTTGAGAGCATACTGGTAGTCATAACTGACATATGGTATAGTTTCATTCAATAAAACTATGACTAGAGACAGACAATTTCTTTCAAAGTGATGGTTGGTGTCAACTGTCATACTGGAAATTCTTTTCACTCATTACAAACTGTAGAGATAATTCATGGTTTACTCTTCTTCTTTTATCACATGTTATAGTTTCATCGCCACTTATTACACTTGGCATCAGTACTCTTTCACTCAAGCTTCTGACACACAGCACACTAAACTGATCTTCAAGTATATAACAGAGTACTGTATACGGTATCCTTCTCTTGGACTCTACTGCACTGCCACCTTAAATTAAGTTTTGTCTTGTTGCATTAAGTTCCTTTACAATCCAGAGAATTCAACTAGATTCAGTGTGGATATCCTGTAAAGACCTTGTGTGTATGTATTATGCCTTTTAACACAGACCTTTTCACTGCAACACACACACACACTTCCTCACCCATTTTTCATCATTCTTTCTCAATGCTTTATCATCTGTGACATTAAACTTTATCGTGCCATTACAACTCAATCAACCTAATGAGAAATATCTGCATTTGAGCAACATGCCGAGTAATATACCAAACAATGATAAAAATGAACATAACACAAACCAAGATTTTATAGAACAGGAAACAATCCAAAGTTACAACATAATAAATGACATTAAAATAGTTCAATAATATAATTATCATTATCCTTAAAGACTAAGAAAAATTAGCATATCTTAGTTTGCTCATTTCTTCAGAATGTACAATGGATAAATCCATAGAGCTTTGAGACACAAAGAAAATAAAAGTTGAGGATTACATTTTTAAATGAAACCGTAAATTTTCACCCCTAAGCCAAGTACAGCAAGAATATATCCATGGCCTTAGAGGAAGTGGTCGTGTTTACCTCAACCCCAGGCTAAGATGGCTTTTCTGAACATTCCACAATGACAGCCATGCCATTCTTCTTGGTAAGTATAATAGTAAAGTTAAGTAAATATGACACTAAACTCAATTATTAAGTCAACACACTGAATGTTTCTAAATATCTGCTACTAAGTTCTTGATATTTAATTAAAAAATATATTGCATAGTGCCAGTCAGTTTAGAGTCACATATACAGTACATATCTTTGTGAACAAATAATACATAAGACACTGTATCACAAAGAAAACATAAAAATAAAACACATCTAAAAATGAATGGACACATTGTTTACTCATATCCAGTTAGAATCTAATGGCATAATTCAGACTAACTCCATTAGTAAAATTAAATTAAATGAATATTTTATATTTCTGATATACAATACCTAGAGGCAGTACCCGGACACCACAGTCAACCGAAAAACTCAAAACCAGTAAATAATGTCTCCTTGTTACAATATGTGACCACTAACATAAAATATCATTGTTCCTGATGGGGTTAGGGACCCAAATCCAGGTTGTAAGTCGAAAATGCTTAAATAATGCATATAAAATCTAACATGGGTGTCTCTTTTTCTTCTCAGCACCACAAAACTCTTACTTTTAAGCTTACCGGCCATTTTAAAGTGAATTACAAACGAAAATTTTGTCAGTACACAGCGCAATCACTGAAGTTGGGACTCGAAAATACGCAATTTGTCAAAATTTTGGTACGACCGAGGCGGTCGTATGTCCGGGTGGTCGGAAGTTGAGTAGGTCGTAAGTCGGGGAGGAGCTGTACTGCAATGCCATGATGTAAGCTTTTGTATGTCAATGCCACTAATTCTATCCAATGCACAATATTTCAGCCTAATTAACTTATGATATTGTGACTACAGTAACATGATGTAGAACAAGGCATATCCTTTACAACAGGAACGGACACAATCCACATCAGCAATGATGCACATGATGGAGTGGTTTAATATCACTATTAACAATCATATCCTATAATTCTGTTGATAGCATTTTTCAGAGAGCAATCATCACAAGCAGACACAAAAAAAGTTATACTTATACTTATTCTAGCTAATAAGAAACAGTAATCATAATGTTCATAATTACTGAGGTTTTTTAATTCTATGTTCTCTCACACACTTTGTCGAACAGAACTTATTATCACTGTACTCAAAGGGCACTATACCTGAGATGTCTGCAGCACACATGAAGCACCGCTGCAGGCAGGATTTTGGTGCTTCCACTTTCTCTTGCTGTTGAAGAAACCGACGCTCAGCAGCTAATGCACGCTGTAGACATAACCATATTTCAACATTCATCCTCCATTGATGTGATATGATGCCACAACCATTATGGGGATTGTAACTGGGAACATAACCCCTCCTTTTACTATGGCAGCCTAACTTTATTTATATTGAATGTATTTATGCAGGCCTCCCCAATTTATGAACATCTGTTTTATGATATTCTGCATTAGTGTTAATTAGGTTTGAACATCCTCGATCCATTTATGTTAGGCAAAATCCACATTAATGACATCGTGAGACTAAATTTACTAATGCAGAATGTAAACACCGAGGAAGTGCATCTTTCCCTTCACTTGTCAAATCCAGGATGGCCGTTACATGTAGAAGCTGCTTTACCAAACTTCACTCAGCTACCTGCACACATCACAACCACCATGCAAACAACAGTCCCACACGGTGTTCCAAGGTGATCGTTCCTGCCCTGGATTGTGCTACCAATATTATCGTTGTTTATCGCTGCGCAGCCTTGTGATCGCCGTGGTACTTTGTCGTTTTTGGTAAGTGCATGTGTAGTGAGTGTTTAATTTATTTTTTTATTTAATGTAAGATTAGTTTTTTCTGTGTTACATGTTTGTGTTGTACAGGCCAGGAACGTATCCCACTGAAACTCACGCTAAAAGGTGCCCGATTTACGATATTTCGATTTGCATGAGGGTTTTTTGGAGTGCAACCCTTCTAGGAACAAAACCCACAGTAAAAGGGACACCTGTAGGGTATAAGGAAATTCTCACATCATCCATCCAAAACCTGTTCATTGTTGAGTTTATCTTCCCTACTGACTGCAGACAATTAAGGTTTTTATTGTTGGTTTATCGCCATAAAACTTACGAACTACAGCACTAGTTATAAAGCACACAGAAAAAAGAGCTAAGTCTAACACAGTGATGAAAACAGTGCAATTTGAGAAGTACAACCAAAAGTACTGTACTGCAGATATATACAGTATGGCTAGGAGAGATTGTAGAATGAAATATGAGGCGTGAAATACTAGCAGGATTTGTCCCAAGTTGTGAAGGTGATATCTATGTAAAAGTGATAAAAATTCTAAAGGTTATACTAAGTTAATTGATGAAAGATCCCTCAACAATACCTTCTCTCTATCACTCAGCTCCAAAAATTGTTTCTTTTCTTCATCCTCCTTTTTCAATTCTCTTTTCTTCTGCTTCTTTTCCTTCTGTCTCTCCTGCTTGGCCTGCCTCTGTGCTTTTCTTCTCTGGGCCAGCTTCTCTGCTTGTTGTGCCTCTTGGTCAGGTGCCAGAGGACTGGGTACTCTGGCCTGCAAATGATAAAATTATAAATTGATAAATATACCTACAGAAGATAAGATCGTAGTCTGCTCTGAGAGAAAAAAATACTGTAGCCTTAATTGTCAAAGGAAGAAAACTGAGACAATATCTTTAATTCATGGACATAAAACACTACATCCTACACTGCTCTTGTTATACAGTCATTTCTGCTACAACGCGTGTTTTGTCAACGCGAATTGGCTATAACGCGATTGATGAATAGAAGAACGATATTTGTAAAACGCGAACGAGTGTTGGCTGTAACGCGATTCCACTCAAACGTTTTAAGTGTACTGTCGCTTGGCGCGGGGTTATGCAGTGTTTACAGTTCATGTTTGACATCACATGTTCAATTGATTCATGTGTTTTGTTTGTGAAGTGAACCACAGTCATCCACTTCTGGAATTAGACGTTTTTTTCGTCCCTCCCATGCAACCAAACCTGCACCTGATGACGACGATGACAACTCTCAACTCCTGTCTGCATGACTCAACCTCAACATCACCCTTCTCCCCCATCAAGTTATATTCATATTTTTTCAAGGTAAAGTGTTACATTTACTGTATGATTTCATTATTAGATATGAATATAACATTTGTTTAGACTGTGCTATCCTTTGTGTTAAACTAACTACTAAATTTTTCAATTTCGAGTAATCTGTTATTTCTATTGCGTGAATTTCTACAACGCGAGATTTTACAAGAACAGAACTATCGCATTGTAGCAGAACTGACTGTACTGTTAACTGGCATAAATATATAAACTCTTCTCTTAATTCAGACTCATTAACCTTACCTTTTTATAATCGTACTTGTCCGGGTAATCTGCCATGAAACGACGGAACTGATTTCGAGTCTCCTTGTCATAAGATGTATCATATGGCACTACTCTGTCTGTGTCGGCAACGCTGGGGTCACATCCACGCTCCAATAACCACCTACGGTCATCACCAAAAGTATTCTAATTATCAAAACTGAATAAAGTTTTACTGCACATAAAAAGTATACTGTACTGTACAAATATAAGTGAGAAAAGTGAAAAAAAAATAAAAGAAATATTGCTGGCTCTCATTGTGCACAGTACTTGAAAATCCTGTGCAAATATAACTCAAGCAAAAAAAAATAAATACTATGAGTCTATGAGAAATTGGGGGTTAAGTGCCAGGTTGAGAAGATGACCTCCCTCATTCATGCAATAAGTTTAATATACACATAACAAAACATTACATTAAACAATTTAAATTATATAGCATTTAAATTTACTCTTAGCAAATTATGTTGTAAATCTAAACCACATGAAATCTTATTTATCAAAATCCATTAATATTTGTACTATCAGAAATCCATTAAAGTTTTTCTAAATCTGATAAGAGACGTTTTGGGAGTTGTACATTACCGCAGAGAGCAAATGATGGCACGCACACACACACACACACACACAAAAGAGGCCACCCTCTGTCCCTCACCACAAGTCACTGTTCACATTACTTCAATAACTTCCTGACAATATTCTTATTTTCTCAAGCATCCATAGAACCTCTGACCTCAAGGACCAGAAACTCACCATACAATGTCCTTGTGACCGTTTTCTGCAGCCAAATGAAGCATCGTTCTCTCTTTCCTCCCCAAGGTGATGGCACTGAGATTGGATGGAATTTCAGTATGTGCAATAGACTCCATAATATCATCTGGGAGAGCTTCACCTGTAAAATCACCAACCCCCCAAAAAAGGTTTAATTAGAAAAGAGACAATGCAAGAGTACATCTGATATATAAACAGTATTGTCAGTGTGTATAATAATGGTGTAAATGTGTATACAGTAATAAGTGATTTTTTTAATGTTATAAATGTAAAGAAATATCAAAGTTCACTTCATTAATTCTTCACAAACAATTCCGGGTGTCAAGTCAGAAGCTGGGACGAGAACATTTGGATACAGGACATTATAGACTGAAACTTAGGATAACTGTCTAACTACTCCAATAACTTCCATAACTATTGAGCTTCAGCTGTACAGATAACATCATGGTCTGAGTCAATTCCATATCTTAACAAACAATTATGTAAACTGGGAAAGGTACAATTTCTAATCCAATAAAATCATTTGCTTGAAAACTTTAAATATGATAAATAACTTTCTTACTTGTAAATGCTGAGAGAACACATCTAGCAATACAGAACAGGTGTCAAGATATACTGTACCACATCAAACATGAAATACATGATACATAATATATACAGTACTTTTGTCCTGTCTAACATACCACTGTACTTTATAGTCAAGAAAGACATTTAAGAGGTCCTGTGATTATGCAACATTTACAGGCTTAAAATACCCAGCTAAACTCTCTACAACTAAGAAACAATACAAGGCATCCAGCATAATATATCTGCACTGAGGAATGAGTCAGAAAGATAAGTGATACCTTCAGGCATATCTGCACAAGGCATTTTGAGTGCTGTAGTAAGGCGCTCTATACTGGCAGTCTTACAAGCTGTGTAGATCACATCCCACACACGAAGCTTGTGCTGACGACCTATAAAGTGAAATTATTATTAGACATTAGTAAAAAAATAAAAAATAAATTCTAAGGCATTTTTTGTACTTTAATGGATGATGATTGATCAATAACAAATAATCAGTTAATCAAACTGTCATCTTCATGCTTGAGGGCTGGTAGCCATAGTATGTTTTGGGGCTGTTTTTACTAGTCCTCCCAGATATTACATCTCTCTGGGGACCACAACTTCTATTCATCTACTCCAGTCTCTGCCTACTATCAATTATCCCCATTAATATTTCTATTACCAGTACTATTCCCTCATCCTAATTTATGTATAAGTTAAATCACAGTATTTCATTTAAATAATGTGTCTTGATGTTGTTGCCCATCTTAGTCCTCCTCCATTTGTTTTCCTATCGCTGTAATACATCATTAGCAATTTCCTATAACACCACATACTGTATAAGAGCATCTACCTTCTGTCCGGTGTCTGCTGAAAGAATCTATACTTCTGACCCATACACCAGTACTGACCATACAACAGTAGCCTATACTCAACACAGTACAGTATTATATTATATAAAAATAAACAACTGGAATTTTACATTTTTTGGCAACTACTGTAAGGCTTTAATAAAAAGTTTACAACCTACTTTGTGTATCTGTTGCACTACAAGTGGTGTTTGTGTTCCTCTGTTTCTTCTTTCCTTTCATCTTCTTGGCTTCAACCACTTTTTTCCTTAGAGGTCCTTTAAAAGAACAGTGTGGTCCCCCAAGTTCACTGGTGCTTAATGTACTTAAACTGACCAAAAGTTCCATGTCACCATCTGAATCAGACTCACTGGATGAAGATTTCAAATTATCTGGTGATTTGTTTCTCATTGACTTTGGTTTCTTTTCCGGTTTCTTTCCGCTTACTTCTTTTTTCTTCTTCACAGTTGGTTTAACTTCTCCAGGAGAGATGGAATCTTTCACCATGGCTTTGAACTCTTCCTCAGTCCCTGTTGAAATGCAAACATGGAGGACTGATGCAAGGCTGTGTCTAGATGACTCTTTTAATAAATGGCAACTTACCAGGGAATCGATCAGTTAATTATAAACTAAGTGATCATTCTTCCTTCCTTCCCTACTCATCAAGCCTCATATAACATGGGAGGGAGGATGGAGGCATGGTTAGTGATTACTGCTCTCCTGGGAGGAAGTTGGAACAGTATCTCTGGGTAGTGTCTGACCACTCAATGACCCTCACACCATAGTACTGACACTACCTCAACGAGACAAAATGATCCAGAGTTTTCACACCAAAAACATGTCAATTACAGTTGGTTAGACACACGTTCCATCCCTTCTTTACCTCCCAATCTTTCTAACAATTTATTACTATTCATTAATTGTCCATACTTTGGTCTGCCAAGTGTATGAAACAAAAGTTTTCAGTTATCTTTATAAATAGAGTGTTTAATACTTAATACATGTTCAAAGTATGTACAGCACTGAAACTTACTCATCAGACTTTAACACATTCACAAACACAAAAAATTAGTCTACTTAAGAAACGTGTAGTACTGTAGTGTGTTCCAACCCCCACAGACATCTGGTATCATATGCAAGAAATCAAATTAAAATAATTCTAAAGTTCTGTTTACTGTACATATAATAAGCTAAATAAATTTACAGCTAAACTAACATGAGTCCCCTACAGGTCAACAGATCTGTGGGCACAAGGTTGAGGCATGAAGGCTGACTGACTGCTTCACTCATAGGCACTGAATGAATTATTGGCTCATGAATGTGATGTTTCAGGAAATATAAATGTTCAGTTTAGTGGTGCACAGCTATCAGAGAGGAATGTGATGAAAAAAAATGCATACAGTATTCATTATTAATTTTAAACAACAAATCAAATTAGTACTGTATGCTTATTTGAGTTCATCTTTAAGTTTACAATATATATGTTAAATCTGACAAAGGTGACGGGTTCTTTATAATTAAAAACCATTATATTCAATATTTTTCATAACAATGAGCCACGAAACAGTAATTTACTTCTGGAACTCCATCATAGAAATGCACCGTAGTTTTAAGGAGAAGGGGAAGTCATGTGAGGGCGTGGCCTTGTACAGTAAGCTGGAAAATTCATAAGTTCAGTACGCCTTGGTCCTAGCAGTGCCGTAATTCTGAGGATGAACAGTACACAGTACATAGCCAAAAGCACAAGTTGACAAATTTCAAAATATCAACATTATTAATCTTGAAGGAACTGTGAGTGACTAAGAATTATCGTTTTTATAAATGTCTTTATAAATATCTATTGCAGTTGGGATCTTGATTGCTGAAAAGTGGGTGGAGACAGTGATAGAGGTGAAAGGGTAAATGTGAGAATTGTGGCTTTGAAGCTACTGGTAGGCAGAAAAGGAAGAAAGGGACAAGTTCTGGGATGAGTTGTTGCATGTTGTATCAGAGCTTGGTGAAGGGAAACTCTGGCACTGTACTGCACAGTGATCTAAACAGAAATATTGGTGAACACACAGAGGTTATGAAGGGGTGCGTAATGGAAAGTGATTTGGTACAAGGAATACTGAAAGTACTGTATTGTTCAGAAATCAGACAGGAAGCTTGTTGGGGATGTAAAGGTTATAGCTGGGGAAAAATGTGCCTGGGTGTGACAAGGTGTTCAGAGAAAGGAAGAAGGTGTATGTTTTAAGAAAGAGTGTGTGAAGGAACAGAATGAGGGAAGCATTTTATGCCAAGCTGAGAAGAGTAGAAATGGCCAACGACAGAGTGAGGGGTAATGTAGTGAGGTGCCGAGCCAAATTAAAGGGTGTTCTGTTAAATGTGGATGACAAGGTGTGTGGCTGATGGAAAGGTACAGTACAGGCCACCCTGCACTAACATAAAGTGTACATACTGATAGAGGAGAAGATTGTATTAGGCTTGGAAGATGGATGACAACAAGGAAGAATACCTTGAGGCCAAATACTGGGCCAGAGGAGAGGTTTACAAGCTGAATATTATGGATGCTAGTGGTGAGGTTAACAGTGGGTTGGTGTGTGTGATATGGTAATGTGGTTGTTAATAATGAGGAAATAAAGAACACGGAGAAAACACAACAACCATCTGCTGAATGAGCAGTTTAAATAGGACAAGTGCACCTGTTACCGCAAGCAGTAATGAGTAGTGTTACCGCAAGCAGTAATGAAAAGGATGACACAAAAACAAACGTTATGTTAGGCTGTAAGTCATGTCATGTTTTTTGGGCGTGCCTGCCCGTATACAGTACTATATAGTGTTGAGATGGTGGAGATGAGAGACCCAGAGGAGGTGAGGTGTTGGGTGGTAGTAAGGGGAGCTTGTTTGTGTATAGACGCCTGACCCAGCAAATTTGGCCAGCCAGGGCTGGGCATGCGACGCCAGGCAGGGACTGGCACTGTAGCTATCCCCATCATAGAGGCAACACCAAACCTGTTTTCTCCTGAGACTTTCAACAGGTAAGTTTAACTTGTACTTATTGTGTACACAGGTAGACTGTGTCCATTGCATCGTTTATCATTGTGACAACATAGAAATATGGCAAATTAAGTACTCATTATAAGTGTTAAGATGAGACTAATTACATAGCTATGATTGTTATGTGAATATATATTGGATTAAACATTTATGTATGATTGCCTATGTATGATTTATCTGAAATACTAAAATTAATTGTATTCAACAAGTTTGACCGAATTATAACGTTTGAGTTTAGCGTGAAGAGTCTGATTAACCTTTAAACGCCCGGAAGGCGCTTACAGCACCATAAAAGTAGCAGAGCATGTAGGGGGACAAAACCCAAGGAGTGAAAGAGCTCTTAAAACACACACACACACACACACACACACACACACACACACACACACACACACACACACACACACATGCAAGCTGAAACAACAATAACAAAACTGTCAGCTTCTAACCACTAGATTCTGTCTTAAATAAGGAAATTATACTAATTTATAAAGCAAAATATCTATCAAATGTTTATATAAAGACAAACCATAACTTACCATGCACCAAAATTTCTGAGAGTAAACCAAAGATCCTCTTCACCTCTGAAAACTTCGCCCTTTTGGTGGTAAAGGGAATCTTTCTTAGCCGGTTATCTTGGATATTAAGGATGGGCGTCTTACCACTAAACAGTGTGCTCCGATTATGGTGTTTGGCATTATAGAAGATCAAGTCACAGTTTGTCAGATGTGTTTTCCAGGACTCCATCAGCTCTTGAATGTGCTGCAACATGGACATACACATATTCTGACTTGTGGCAACATAATGTGGCCAAGAAATAGTGATACAGGCACACAAGTGTGGAAAATGGCTCTAAAATGATGATGATTATGTTGAAGGTTCGTTTATCATTAAAATACATTATGAGGCAGAAGCAGCAGTAGACTGAGTGGCTGTTATAGCCTTAATGGAGGAGTGAGATGAAGTACCATGAAGCAGCTGCTTAGTGCGGTCACCGGCAACAGAGTAGGAGAAACACTGCAGGAACAGAGAAGTAACTTGTCTGAGGCAACAACTTGCAATATGTAAAAGGTAAGTCTAAATTGGCAATTTTTACATTGGCCCTTTTTCCACTTAGCCAGAGAATTATAACATATGAAATAATAGGGACCATAGATAAATAATAAGTGACAAAAAATTTATATCCCAAAGAAACCTTTTATTGAGACCAAGAACCTTCATTTTAGAACAAATGTGTCAAAATTTATGGACTAAGTAAAATGATATATAAAGATTGATGCATAATTAATTCCCTGATAAAATAACACTTGCTAGGTATTATATAAATGTTTGACAAAAATTGGTATTTTCTTGGGATATATACTGAGTGAACTGATGAAACAGTTGCTAAGTTTATAAGAACAGAGCAGACAAATGCTTTATAAAATGAAGTTGTTTTGTTGGTCACATTTCCCCTTACATATCTGTGAAATGCATAGCAGTGACAAGAATATCTGATGTCTCAAGGGATGGTGTATGAAAAAGGAACTAGTGACGTCACCGTGTGGGATTCCCTCGTCCATTTCCATGCGGTTGCGCTTTCAATCGCTACAGGGACCAATTGAAATGTACTGCAAACATAATGTTAATGCAACAGTACCAATGGAAATAACCGTGTATATTTCACCATGACCTATTTTTGGCTACCGCATGAATGGAATCCTCGCTTAAGATGAATTGAGATACTGTACACGGTGTATATCTCACCTGACGCTGAGACTGTTCATTATAGCGCCTCAGAGATGCCCCACTTGACTTGGGGTGAGCTGAGCCACTCTGGTTGTCCTTGGAACTCTGGCTTCCACCTTGCTTGGCTCTCACTGTGTAGTTGTGGAATGTTTTGTGGATGACAACTTCATTCGCTGTCAAGTATTTAAGACTCTTTCAATAACACAATTCCATTAAGAGAAACTACTTGTATCTAAATTATACAAATCTATACATAGGTAATACATCCCTAACTTACCCTCCCTACTCTTATGATTCATTCTATAGTCATTCCGATACATTAAAATATATTTATGGTATATATTTACATTACTTTCATGAAATCATCAATCATAAATATAACTTTTTTCAGAAATATAAATCCATTTATTTGTTTATCATCTCGCATTAACTCACACCTTTCATGGTCAGCCCTCAAGGTAAATTTATGCCCAAAATTATACAAAACAATCATTTGATGTTTTCTGTATAGTGAAACAGACTGAATATAATACTCTAGACTGTACTATGTTAATAGCTATAGTTATAAAAATAATATCATACAGGTACAGCACTCTTACTGAAACTGGATTTAATATCTTGATCACTAAGTACAGGTAGTAAGTGGCAATTATGAGCACACTGTACATCCACTAAATTTAGGTACTTAATTAATAGTGGTGGGAAAATCTTGACCGAAAATGTCTCCTAGGAATGTGACCCCTATTTATTTCATTAGGACTATGGTAAACTGTACTATCTGTTTCACTAAACATTGCACTATTCTTACAACACATGTCTGCTGTATAGTGAGGTACACCTGCATCTGAAAATCTATCGTCTAAATTATGAGGCAATTGGTGACTGAACGATGAACTCGCTAGGCCGATGAAAAATTTGTCTTGCCTTCCCCCATCACATGGCTTTACACACACAAGTTTAGTTTGTTAATTGTGGCCTGAGTCATATGGCAGAATTTTGAGACCCATAACACATCTCCTGTTCCCTTAAATTACTAACTTCCACTTTTATATTCAAGGCAACCTCCAGGAACACAACACACAAATCTTGAGGGTTATTGTAAAGACTTACTACACACATACTGTACTTTATACTGATTATATTTCTATTAAACAGTTTAATATAAATATGTTAATTTATCAGAGGTTTATGTCTAACTGGTCAGCCAAACACATACTACCTATTTCTCCCCATAAGTTAGACTGGTATTTGCCTGGAGATTCAGTTATCATGGGCCATCCAGGGAAATAACCCCACAAATAACCAAGACCTTCTGGAACTGATATCTGGGAAGATTGACAATTTTACTATGGCTGTGAAATATCTGATGTAGCAATTATTACAAACAGTACAGGAATAAAAGGATACAGAAGCCTTGTAATCCTGGTATGTCACAGTGATTATAGCATTTCTGGTGTGATCCCATTTCATTCTACCTCTATGTAATTGTGCCTCCTCCTTCTCTCTTACCTGCGTCCATGATCTCATACACAACAACACCCACCTCTGAAGATGGCAGCAGCATAATGTCCACCACCCAGGAGAATAATAGCCCAGGTGTGTCTCCGTGGGGCCGCCTGCACCCGCTGTATCACGTCCTCTTCTCCATCCATTTCACACTGAGCAGACAGAAATTAACATAACTTGTCAGAGGAAGATAGAATATTTGTCTGTCTGATGGAATTACTCAGCCAGATTTTATGTGAACATAGATAGTATTAGAAAACATAAATGAGTACTGTCACATGCCACCAGGCTAATTAACAGCAAAATAAGTACAGTACTGTATGTGATGTTACCTGTCCTGCCATATTCTAATGCTGGTTAGCCCATACAAGTTCCTGACATATAAACAACTTTTCAATTTAAAAGTAAAGCCCTGACAATATTCAAAGTAATTCCTCAAATCTAGAACTGTAAGTCTTACTTTAAGCACAAATTCACTTTTGACCCTTTGACCTTCTTTTACCTAAGTCTAGTGAGCTAGTGAAGCTTTGTGGTAGCATGACATACACACAGCCAGTTGTTACTAACAAAAGAATGATCAAATTGTTCTCTGTCAGCCCCATACACCCACAGAGGAGGAGTCTGGTAACATCAATCACAGCTTACCTTTGCATTAAACAAAATATTCCTAAAGAGTGATATAACATTGCCATCTGCATTAAGAAAGAACAGCCTTGCCTGCTTCCCCAGTACTTGGTTTCTTGACTCTGAAAAATTTGTAAATTTATTAAAAACTAACTGACAAACATACTGATTCCATCAAATAATTTATCAAGCTAATAAATGTAATTCCAGCACTGACACATACTCTCATGTTAATGGAAACGAAGTAAATCAAGAGATATAAAATTTCAAGACAAGTAACTTTACCAATATTATTAGATCCTGCATCAATTTTGCAGTATTGATACCTTCAAAATTCTCTTCCTGACTCAATCTGTGACTCTGCATTACAATGCTGTTCTTCATGCATTCATCTGCACTACTATAAATCATACTAACCTAACCCTTATTTCCCATCAGCCTTAAGTCTTCCCAATCACTGGGTTTTCAGGAACCTAACCCCTGCTGTTGGTGAGGAACTACAGTACTGTACTGCAGTAATGCCACTGCTTGAGAGAACATTTCAAGATCTTGAAAAATGGATCCCAAACTTGATAGTTTGAAAGAAAATTAAAAAACTATAAAATTATTGAAAAATTACACAATTTTTTACATTTTCTCATTAATTTTCTGTTTCGATATTTTACGAATCCTCGGTAACTTGGAAATGACAACGTTTTCTTGTCACACATTTAATTAGGTAAGTAATTTGGTAGCCCTGAGGCCATGATTCGCCCCTGTAACCAAATTGGACAGAAAATGTACAGGAACACGACGCGATCTCACGAGTTTTGGTGCAAGCTGTTAAAGATGGGAATGATATGATCAAGTTTTGTTAATGGTCGGAACTTTTGTGTGGTCTCCTTGCCTTCCCACACTCTTCAGCTTGTGTAGAGAGTGTTTTCACAGGTCAACTTGGTGAAAACAATGCAAACAAATTGACTTAAATGTAGAACAGTAGCAAACAGGTTATTAGCTAAGCAGGCTATTTCTCGCCAAGGGGGTAAGTGTTATTCATGGGTCCCATCAAAGTATACATTAGAAAATTTAAAACAGGGACACTGCCATCAGAGATACACCGAGTATGAAGATAAGTAAAAATTAAACCATTCTAACACTGCAAGCAGCAGATTCTGATATTGAAGAGGAAAATATTGAAATACAGACATTTTTCCTTTCTTGCATCTGTACTATAGGTATACTTGTACCGTATTATTATTATGTATATATAACAGGAATAATTTCTACAGTGATTTACTTAAACTATTATTTAGTCTTGCTTCCAACTAACAAGCTGACATAAACTAAACCATGTTGAGAAGTAATTATTGACAAACTTGATAAATTCTATTGTATTATCTGTCTATCTGTCAACCTTATTTTAGTTAAAGGTAAATGGGGTGGAACAAGAAACTGAAGTTCATATTCTCACCACTGTCTTTGTCCTCATCATCATCATCGTCTTCACTTGAGTCATCATCTGATCCTGATATACTGGAGACATCACCTGTATAAAAGAATGAAATGATATAATAACAGTACTGTATTTATCAATTTTCATCCATTCATAAATAGGTTGAAGAGCTTTAGTAGTAGTTCAACTTACTGTACTCAGATTATCCTGCCAAGAGCCAATTCAATTCCAACCTTGAGAGGCTCTTTGGAAAACTCTTAAACACTTAAGTGCACTTATTAGACTGTTTTGAAGAGCACAGAAAGAAGAACTCAAGCTTGATATACAATTTTATGACTGAGGGGAAGAAGAATGACCTGTGAAATCCATTCTATTAAATTAAAACCTGGCATAACGTGTCTTCACCAGAGGACCTTAGCATGTTTTAAAGTTAAAATACACTATCCAAATGGACAATGGTCTACTGCATGCAGGATTCTCATCCAATTAAACCAGCATAGGATATTCAACCCAATTTAACTCTGCAGTTAACTCAAAGCTCACTATATAACACTAGAAGAAGTTCAACAGAGGGCAAACAGAATTATTCCTGAAATAGATCATCTTGATTATCCATGGAGGCAACACTTCACACAAGACTCAACAGGCCAGACCTCATAAATAAATTCCAAATCCTAAAAAGGAAGGCAAACCTAAATAACTGCTTCAAGATGGTATTCATTTTAAACTTGCTGAGATTGTCAGTTGATGTGCAGAACAAACATGATGACCTCTTCATGTAGACCAATGGAACAATACACCAAGAGAAGTTGTGGAAGCAAGGGCAATACAGTACTGGGCTTCAAAACAGCACCAGACAGATTATCAAGAACAAAGAAAAGATCTTAGACACCCTCCTCACACTGACTCAACAGAGGAGGATCAAGGAATATTAAAAGAGGGGAGTCCAAGAAGTTGTGGTTGGGGGAACATGGCGAGTACAGCGCGCCCACCCAGCTTTTGTCTTTCTTTTTTTAATCTGACCAATATAAAGGGCATTTTGAGGCCACTTTGAAGCCATGCACACTTGATATTAGGAGATATTCCGAAGTCAATATTAATTACATTTTACTATACAAAAATGCCTGAGTACAATACTGCATTAAAGAAAAAGTACTGGAATTTTCTGGTGAAAAGGGGGGTCCGGACCACCAGGATCCACCCTTGTTCAACCACCAATAGTTGTAGTGGCTACTAGATAAAGACAGGCAGGTAGGTAGAGATGCTCATTTCTTCTAAATCCCACTTGACAGAATGGATGATAAATGTCAACACCAAATGACAGTATACAGGCAAGTGTGAATGGGATGCTGGTGTGGACTGTGTATCAAAAAATTGCTGTACAGAGGAAAGGTACAGTACTTATCCCACATGAACATAAATACAACCAGTAAAATTCTAAAACCAGTATTGTACTAACTTGATTCACTCATAAATTGTTCTTCAGTGAGTGGAGATTTGCCCTGTAAGGAGAGCTGCAGGTTACGGCGGTGCCAGTCCAAACGGTAGTGATTCACCTGTTCCTGACGGTCGTTAAAGGTAGTCTGGCAATATGAACAGCGCATTTCCGTCAACGTGGTCGGTAAACTTGGTTGAAACATAGGAAGACCAATGGAACAGTGCTCTGAAATAGACAAATGAATGTAAAACTCTGAAGATGCTAAAAATCCTCAAAGGAATAAACAGAAGAAGAACCTTGGGAGAGAAATGTCCACATAAGCAAATGTACAAAAATGTCAGGATAAACTGTATGGGTTGCCCCTCTGATGTCTAGCACCACATACCAGCAATAAAACAATATACAGTAAGTCCTCGCTTAACGTTGTGGTTCCGTTACTGAAAACCGTGACATTAACGGAAACAACGTTAACGGAATAAATTTTCCCCATAAGAAATAGATAAAATATGGGAGGTAAGTTCCCCAGCCTCCATGTGCCCCATAAAATACATTACATATACAAAAATTCAATGGAATTTTTATGGAAAATAGTATATATTATAAATCCGAAAAGATAAATAAACTAAATCATTTTGCGAGTGTGTGGTGGGTAGTGGAGAGGAGGAGGGTGGGTGAGGAGGAGGGTGGGTGAGGAGGAAGGCAGGAGAGGAGGAGGGTGGGAGAGGAGGAGGGTGGGTGGGTGAGGAGGAGGGTGGGTGAGGAGGAAGGCAGGAGAGGAGGAGGGTGGGAGAGGAGGAGGGTGGGTGAGGAGGAAGGCAGGAGAGGAGGAGGAGGGTGAGTCACCGAGACCCAGAGGGTGGCTCCTCCTCCGCTCTGACTGGGTGAGAGTGATGTGCCGTACACAGTAGTCCCTGACGACGTTATACCGAATCGGCGGAACGTTGTCCGAATCATGGGTATCTAAAGGGTAGCAACGTTATAACGAAACAACGTTGTCGGGGGCAACGTTAAACGAGGACTTACTGTACAGTATACAAAATGGCCAGAGACCCATATCCGTGGGTGGCATTATCAGTCGAGATGTCCATGATTGACTCAGGTAATCTGAATCCTTGGATGGTTTTCCCTGTCCAGAAATTCATGAAAAGGCCAGGGACTCATTCTCCTAAGCTTACCTTTGCTTGGGGATGATGAAGGCTGAGTGCTGACTTGTTCATACTCCGCACTGCCTGGGGCTAAGTGGATCCCAGTCAGGATGGGCATCACCTAAAGATACCAATCATACAGTACAACTATTCTTTATTTCTTCTAACCATAATGTACATATTCAATCTTAATGTTAATATAGATGAGGTTTGGGAAATACTCCCAACATTCTTTTGGTCAAAAAGTGTAAACAGCAAAAAAAGAAGAAATTTCTAGTGTTATGATCAAGAGAGACATAATTTTGTGAACCAGAACATACTGAGGATGGACCTGAATTCAAGTATAAAAGTTCAGTTGTCAATTGCAATACAGTACAAAAAATTCTGTAACAGAAGGAATCCACGAGAGTTGTAAGCGAAATATTTTATCCGAAATTTGTGCACATTAATGAGATGAGTAACATGTTACCTTATCTTTGTCCCAGAGGGAAACTCTATAAATCTGCTTAATGACCATTGTGCACTGTTGAGATGTCCTCTCTTGGCTGTAAGTGCTGTAGTGTACTGCTGAAAAACACAAGTATATTAAGAATAAAATGACAAATAATTTCAATGTTCTGAAAGTGAATTTAACCACCACTTTGGTCATTCTTATCCCACCACTATGGTCAATGAACTAAACAGTCCTTAGATTATTGTGAGTAAAATCCTTAGTTGTCAATATTTTACTACTACATACACAACTGTACTTGTACTGAAGTTTCCCTGAAAGAAGATTATTTTTATGAAGGTATAATGCAATTTTTTTTTTATACAGTAGTTATGGTAATGAATGACAGATAACAAACACAGGTAAAGTCAGTATTGTTCATGATTCAAGTCACTGTGTAGTGCTGTACTAAGAAAGGGCTTCCAAGGTTAAAAAAAGGAAGATTGATCCTTAAATGCCACTCTATTAATGAGCCTGGAATTAAGATGAACAATTAAAGCACTCACAAACCCATTGGCCTAAAGCAGGAGGCCAGACATTATTGATCTAAACCTATTCTAAGCATTGTTTGGTTAATTTGGGGGCTCTGGACACTAACCCCTTATGATAAATTGAATTACATCTCCTTAATTCGTAATACAGTAAAACCTCGCTAAGGCAGACTAGTTGGGGGAAAGGGATGTCCAGGATAAAAAAAAAGACTTTCATTATCAACAAAAAACGAGTACAACACCGATGTGTCCAATCTTTATAAAAGAAACACATGTTTTTTTAATAAAAATTAATTTACAAAAGTAATGCATACAAAGTACTGTACACTTACCCCCCAAAAATGGACATGCCTCACTCTGAGTCTGAGTCAAGGATAGGAAGAGGAACCTCCTCAGCCAAGGAGGTTGATGCTCAGGGCAAGGAGACACAGCTGGAGGGTCTTGGCTTGAAAAAAGTGTCTATCTTTGTTTGAGTGACCAACTTGCTTCTTTGCCCCTGTATGACAAGTCCCCTCAAGTGCCTAAGTGATCGTAATGGGCCCCAATTTTTTTCATTTTTAGTCTGATGAGTAAAATCTATAAGGGTGTCCAGGCAGTCCCTGGAGAGAGTGTATATATTTAGATTGTTCCCCTCTGACAGACTTTTCAAAAGTGCAGTATGCAGTGCAGTACTGCAGTTCTGATGGGTCTCAACGACACACCGAGGACAACCAATTGACTGAAAACCTCCAAAGGAGGACCACCAACCTGGTGCCAGCACTCACACACCTCACTCACCAAGAGACCTGAACGTCCACAATTGCCAAGTTAATACATTACAGTACAGTACTACAGAATGGAATGGGACATTTTAAAATACTGTACAGTAAATTTACAAGCATTCAAAGGGAATTAATTATGTAGTCAAATGTGAATATCTACAGTTACTAGATGGCTGCCCCATTAGAGGTCAAAGCCTCAAGTTAAGTAATACTGTACTGTATTTCCTACCTCAAGAATACGGTACACCAAATCGGAATCGGGAGGAGGAATTGTAGTTTTCGTTTTTTTCCCACTTACCATATTTCTGCATGACTTGCTGACAAATGCTTCCTTGTGACTGAACACTAAACAATGAAACACTTCCCATCAACCTTCCATATGAAATATTAGCACCCACACTTACTAAAGCTAAGCTAACCTAAAGTGACTAACTTACCTAGCCAAAGTTAACGTATTTCTCATATTTAATAATAATAATAATAATAATAATAATAATAATGGTTGTCCCTCGTCAGGGATGGCCGGCCCAAGGGCCACCTAGGCGTGAATTTGTTTAAGGTGTACATAAGAACATAAGGAGTCTGCAATAGACCGGTTGGCCTGTGCATGGCAGCTCCTGTCGAGAGTTACTACCACTCTCTATCATCCATGAATCTATCTAGCCTCCTTTTAAAACTTTCCAGCATTCCAGCACTTACTACAAAGTTGCTGAGCCAACACAACAACCACACCCTAAGTTAACAAGCTACTTGAGCCAGTGTCAAGGAATAGTCCGAGATGACCAGACAACTCGCCAACAGCACTCGCTAAACTTGAGCCAGTGTCAAGGAATAGTCCGAGATGACCAGACAACTCGCCAACAGCACTCGCTAACCATTACCCTTGAACACGATTCGCAAATCTATTAGCATCCAGGTCCTCAGTTACTGCTGGGTAGACAGAGGCAAATGGCGTAAAGAAACTTACCCATAGTTTCACCCTGCCCGGAGATCGAACCCGGGTCCACTCTCTTGCGAGGCGAGCATGCTGACCATTACACCACAGGTCATCTTTCACTTTTTCTCATATTTATCAATTCCTATACAGTACAAAATCATCTAAAGTTGATGGTTCTTAGTGAGTATAAAACAGAACAGTAATAATGTCATGAAACATTCCAACTGACACAAACAAGTATGGCATCTTCAGCTGGTGAATGGGATAGGCCAAATATTTATGAATGAAAAAAAAAAGTGCACCTTCCACCCAAATTGAGATATCAATATTAATTTATTTCTGGTCAACCGGGAATCTTAGGAATGTAACCACCACCAGGAAGGGGGGGTCTGTTGCCCCCGGTTAGGTAAGATATAGTTCCTGAGTTCTGTGGCTAGGTTAGGTTTGGTTGGTTAGGTTATATTAGGTTAAGTTAGGTTAGGTTAGATGTCTAAATACAGGGATGGGTAAATTTTTAGTTTGGGTCACCCATGTATTTTGATATCCAACCTAGCCCAATGTAACCTAACCTAACCTAACTGTTTCCCTGGATGACCAAAACTAAAATTTTACCAGAGATATCACTCAGAAAAGAAATATGTACAATATCTGTTTAGTGAACCCTGTTTTTAAATGATACAAAGTTAACTGTTACTGTTCTTTGAGGGAGAACACAGGGCAGTGGTCTACTTGCCCCATCAGTCATGCATTAGAATATTCTTACTACAGTATTGAGTTGTTTGACATACAGTAACACATTCATGAATTAAAGTGTTACTGTTTGACAATTGTTCATATATCTTCAGTGTTACAGATATTTTATAGTTTATCTACAGTAAAAAAAAAATCACTATCAAACATGGCACAACTGACTTATAGGATCATATAATTACCATAAAATATTTACACACAGACATACACAAAGAGTTAACTAAAATAATAGTCAATTTGAAACCCCTGTCCCTTTATGGTCTTAGAAATAAAACAAAAAGATACCAGACTACTTCACCCCAGACCTCCACCAGCTGTCCCAGTGTAGTGTGTCAAACCTAAACATATAATTAAAACATATCTATAAAACCTTAAGATCATAGGGATTATCTATACGTATATTTAAGATATAGTTGTTTATACAGGGTAATATAGATATAATTATTGTCCACAGTTAAATAATATATTAAAGGGGATGGTGTAATTAATGACGTCACTGTAGAGTTGTAACAGTATATATGTAATGTATCTCTCATTATAATTAATTGTTGATGTTATAGTGTAATTAATAACATAAAACGTGAGCCTGACTGCTTAAATAATAATAATAACAATTGTAATTATCTTGTTTTTCTTACAGGGGTTAATTTATAGGCCTATACCTCCTCTCATGTTATTACCTAATCTAACCTATTCTAATCTAATTCTTAACTAAATTTCAGGTAAATTAACACTAAATTCAATATTTGTCAGCTGATCCTGGATATTCAAAATTTCAAGATAGCCTGGCAATTTAAGGGCGAAAAAATAGGGTAAAAGAAATAAAAATTGAAGAAAAATACAATATTAATGTACACCACGAAGACGCCAGAAGACCAGCTTTTAAAGTGAGACAGATTGAAGAGTGTGGAAACACTGAAAGAAGGTAGAGCCTCTGTGCTGTTCCTCCTGGGTCCATCCTCAATTACCTGTGCCGGTTAGGTGGCTGCAGGGGCGGATTCAGGAGTGGCAAGGTGGGCAGCTGTCCAGGGGCCTCCACATATTACAATATTCTGAATCTATCTGACCTTGGACTTAAAGAAGCCTATACATGCATTCTTGGACAGAACCATTATTAGAGTAGAGGTTTATCTGGTTAATAATGCAAAGAATCATCTCTCTGTAATAACTAATAATATATTCATTTCTGTGAAGTCTCTTGAAAATTTCTGACATGTGCGGTAGTAGCTATATCAGGGCTGGTCGACTTGAAACCACATGAATGACTCCAGTAATGTCTCACTTGTGTGTGTGTGTGTGTGGGAATTTGTGCTGTGGGGTAGAGATTGTTTGGTGTTCACACCAGGATGGGATAGAAAACGATGTGCTTTCTCCATTATGTTGTATTGGATGTACAATGCAGCTTGGTGCTGGGAAGGCAGCATGGTTACAAGCGTGATGTAGAGAGAGCTGGTTGGTGAGGACGCTCAGAGAAGGACAGCTTGTGGGTCGCCATGCTCGCCAGCGGGAGAGAGGACCGCCAGGCAGGCGGAGGAGCGAGGACCGCCAGGCAGGCGGAGGTGTTGCTGGCTGGTTGGTGTAGGTAGAAAGAGAGACAGATCACCACGAGGTCAGGTCTTAAATAGCGGGGGTAGGCGTGGCTTAGTAGTTAACCCCCGCTCCGTGGTGTATGGCGGCGCTGGTTGACCTAGACCACGAGGCATACACTGAAGGTGGTGGGGAAAGGACTAACAGCAAACAGCGTTTGTAGGAGAAATTCACTACAGCACACTATCAATCAGTGGCGGCTGGTGCAGTCCCCCAGACACTCACTGCCAGGCGTATGATTCCTTTAGAGAGACAGCTGAATAATACACTACCAACAAATATATCATTTTATATGTTATTTAATTATTTTCAATACGTTGCTAAGTGAATTTTCATTAAAATCAGACCAAAATTTAAGTTACTTTCATAGTTGCTGTCAATGCTGTACGATTGATGTCTGTTATTAATTGGCGCCGCCGCCGCTGCACTTGAAGCAGCTCAGTCTCGTACAACGTGTGGACGGTGTGGTTAAATCGTGCTTTCTTTAATTACCCTTTAGCAGTGATATCCATTGAAAATAAAATGATAACAGAAATAAAGGATTTTAATGAAATAGTAATAAACAATTTTGCTACATCGAAGAGCAGACACGCCGACTTTATTTTCAATTAATACTGGTCCATCACCACCAACACTACTACCATGCCCTGGGAATTAGTGGACATCAACTACAACTCATACCTGAGGTAGGTCACCTACTGTTGTGTGAGGCTTGCACTCCCTCCATTTTATTTTTCACGAGCCGCCACTGCTTATTGTCATATTTCTATGTTGTCACAATGATAACCGATGCAATGGACACAGTCTACCAGTGTTAATTTAAGTACAAGTTAAACTTGCGTGTTGAAAGTCTCAAGAGAAACAGGTTAGGTGTTGACTCTATGATGGGGATAGGTAGATTTTTTTTTTTTTAGATAGCCTCCGAGGGGGCTAGTTTATTGGGCACCCCCTTACATCCTGTGCAAGGTGAAGCGCAGAAGCATTTACAGCGCCCATCTGGGAAGCATGTGGAGTTCATGCTTGCCTTCATGACTCATGCATTAAGGGCGTAAATGCCTGAAGGGTCATGGGTTTTGTCAGCAAGTTACATAAAGTGACATAATGATGAGTGTGTGGGGGGAAAATTCCCAATACAATTTATCTGCTTACGGCAAAGCGTGGCAGGTCCCTAATAATGTCAAGTGCCAGGCCATAGGCATTGACAATATTGAGGGACATACCTCTTAGTGTGATTGTGATGGCGTGTACGTCGTTAGTGTCGGCTTCAAGGGGGACGTCAAGAGGTTGGTAGGGGACGTCCTTCTTGGTGTAGATACATAGTCTACTAGCATGTCCGCATGGTGGTCAATTAATATGGAGAACTGGAGTGGATGGGCCCCAGGTGCCGGCATGCCGGTGGGGGACGGGGAGCTGGGGGTGGTATCCTCGGGTCCATGAGCGCGCGATGGGTGGATGGGGGCAGCCGGGCACGAGGCAGGCTCGGTAGCGTGGACGCCAGCAGTGGTGCCAGGCGGCGGTGGAGTAGGTCGTGAGCATGAGGGGCACACAGGGGGGCTACCAGGTTGTGTCAAACCAGAAGAGGGGGGTGACTGGGTAGCAGCTGGAGACAGGGGTAGTCCGTGTAGGTTGGAGATGGCAGTACAGAGTGTATCAGAGTCTTTCAATACGGTTGAAAAATTCGTGTAAGAGGGATATGATCTGTGTTGTGTCACCAGAGGGGCGTTGTGGGGGGTCACCGGTGGGAGCACAAGGCCTGACAGCGTCAGAGTAGAGACGGAGAGGATGCCCAGTAGTAATTGAGTTAGGAGACAGCCAGGACTGCTGTGTTGCAGCCAGGTGAGGCCAGGCAGGGGCAGGTGTTGTTGAAGAAGGCGTTGCTGGAGACAGAGGGGACGCAGAAGGATGTGGCTCGGTAGGCTGGGGGAGAGGTTGAGGTTGAGGCAGCCTTCGGGGAGGCTTTTCTCCTGGGACAGATGGATGTTTGAGGCATTGTCGTGAGTCAGCATTGTGCCAGCCACCACAATTACAACACCTGGGGTCAACAACATAGCCCACACCACCCCCATTGAGGTGGTCTTTGAATTTTTGAGTACAGATGGAGGAGTGATGGTTACGTGAACAGAAGCAACATCTGGGACGATCACGTCGGCAGCAGGCGGTGAAGGTGTGACCTCAATGGGAGCAGATGACGCAAAAAGCAGGCCCAGGGTGATAGGGTTCTGCATACAGTGGAGGGAGGACTGGGTGGGCCTCAACAGTGGTTGGGCACTCCCCCCCCCCACCTTCCATTTAACTATGACAGCTGCTTGTGGGGTCTTCCCACGGTAGTGTCAACGTATATGAGTATACGTGGATTAAAGTTACGAGCATCTTCGACTTCAGCATTTAGGGGTAACTGTTTAACAAGGATGTGGCAACATTCCGCTGCGTCAGCAAGTGGAGGCACGAGGACAACCCCGTCAAATCCAACAGTACTGAGTGTTTCATAGACCTCAGGTGTCTGACACTTGATAAAGTTACGGTTCTTACCTTTTCGGAATTGAATGGCGAGACCGTGTTGTCCAATTAAACCGTTCCTCGATGGTTTTCAATGAGTCCTTGGGGAAGTGCAGATGCAATTTACTTGGTTGGTTGGCAGAGGGGAAGCTCGCTGCCCTTGGCATTGGTGTTGCCACTCCAGCAAGTGTTTCCCATAGAAACATTACTGTTACTATCACCGAGATCTGACTCTTGCAGGGTGTGGGATGCACTATGACGATCCATCTCAGAAATGTCTGTATCCATGAGAGGGGAGGACGCCTCTTCTGGGGCGCTTACGTCGACCCCGCCCCCCCATCGCTGGCAACACTTGCCGGCGAAGGGGTAGGTAGAGACTGAGGTGGCCTTTGTGTGACGATCGGGAGGACAGGAGCTCCTATGGGCACACGTTTGTCTCCTTATGTGGTCAGACCGCGACTGGGGATAACTACAGTGGCAGTGCCCTGCCCGGGGTCACATGCCCAGCCCTGGCTGGCTGCCTTTGCTGCGTCAGGCATTTATATGCAAACAAGCTCCCCTTACTGCCACCCACCATCTCACTACTCTATAAGTATAGAGGCAAGCACGCCCAACAAGCATGACACGACTTACAGCCTAACATAGTATTTGTTTATGGGTCATCCTACTCATTACTGCTTGTGGTAACAATAACCATGTGTATGGGAGAGTGTCTTGTTTCTTGATGTCTCTCAGGTATGTAACTAGTCCTTCTTGCTCGCCATATTAAATGAATTTAACTGGGTTGAACTTTGTTAAATATATCAGCGTTCATGTTTAACATAGTTGAAAGACATACAGTATGCACCAAGTAAAATATAATGTAACTAGACATTGTCTGTGTTGATGTCATGCGTCTTCCTTGCCAGACGTGTGATAATTTGTATTTGAGTTTAAACGTTTCCCGAGTCTCTCCATCATCTCTCGGGCACGAAAAGCGTTGGGGCTGATACTCGCAGCTACCGGGGAACAGTAGTTGCCTACCAGCAAGATGTCTGAGGCAGGATGTTTCTAATTCAATGAGATTAAAATCCGATTACGGGCGCACTAGGGAAAGACAGTGACGGAGTCTACCTGACGCTACTAGTGAGCTTCATTTGTGTTGCAGTAAACACCAGAGGTGTCAGCCTGATGTAAACTAATCTTGACTGGTGCCAACGATTATTCTTTGAATGAATATGATTGGGGGCAATTAGCAGGAATATAATTGTCCCAGGTTGAGTATTGAAACCATAAATATTGCTATTTCTAGTCTCTCCTCGACGTACGACGGGGCTCCATCCCGACGACCCAGTCGAAAATACATAGAAATTCTAAAATGGGTCTCTATTTCTTCTCAGCACCACGAGAACTCTCACTTTTACGCTTGCCAGCCATTCTAAAGGCAATTGCAAAAAAAAAAAGTCAGTACACAGCGCAATCACTAACGCTGGACTCGAAAATACGTAATGTGAAAAATATTTTATTCGACCATGGCCGTCATAAGTCGAGGAGAGACTGTACTATTAGAGTTTGTGTGTTGTGAATAAACCACCACTGTATACACACAACCGAGATGCTGGTATATGTGCCTTATAATAGACTGTTGCTCTAAATAATACCATAATTCTGTGCTATTAGCAAGTGTTAAAGTGACCATCTTTATTGTCAGAGATATAATATAATACCCTTAAGGAGGTATAAGTATTAAATGTTAATTGAAGATCTAGTTTTGTGATACAGTAAGACCTGGTGGTCCATTTTTGTCTGAGTGTTGCAGTAAAGTAATCAGTGATTGAACCTAGCTTTTGTTGTCATGAATAAAGGTTCAAATTGTCATACTATTCACATTTGCTTTTAATAAATATTGATTTAGTAGAATGTGATTATAACCGCTCCTTCCTTCCCAAAAAATAAACACTAACTCATGTGCCTAAGCTTGTCTCTTCCCCTCTTGACAATTATAAATAAAAGCCTGGGTGATGGCAGTCTACTAATATGTAAGTATAATACTTATATTAAGGTGTAATGCTAAAATGATATGGTTTTCCTGGGTTAATCTACTGAACAAAATATAACTAAGCACAGCTGAGAATAAAAGAAAGAGGAATTACACATACAATAAGCAATGAGAAAGGCTTAATAAATAAGAGAGAGTTACTTAAATAATTACAGGAAAATATAATGAACAAACAATGACAGTGAAAGAAATAAATAAGAACAGTGAAAAGAAAATACTGTACTTAGAAAATAACTTGGAAAACATTGTAGAATTACAATAACTAAAGAAAATAAATAGAAAAAATTAGCAGTAAACCAGAAAATAAAAGATAATGTAACAAAGGAAATTAAAGGTGATACAAGATATAGTAACAGACATAAAAATCAATACTTATAAAAGTAAACCTCTTACAAATATTGTCAACTGATAAAGTGAGAGTTAACAGAAATCAATTTTATTATAATTTTCCCAACTTATAAATATTGTTAGCATCATCGAGTAGTTAGTGGGAATAAAGTATTGAATTTCCCACCTTGCATTACAACACTAGTGAAAGTCGTTAGGTAGGCACAAGATCTTTGTCTCGGCCGTACTGCAGTAACTTATTTGTGCGATTCATCTTCTCACAATGATCCAAGATTTTCAGCTGTCACTTGAAACTCCCAGGTCCTTTTCACACACGATATTTACAAAATATCGTTACTCTTAATCACCGTCTTATCCATAACATAATGCACTCCATCATTAATCACATTTTTGAAACCTATGAACTCACAATCCAAGATTTTATGAACTCTGTACTGTATTGAAATTAAAGATCTCATTTCTACTTTGCAGTCTTATACCTTCCATAAATATTACTTTAGTACACACTTTTATTATATTTTATCTATTCCACTCGTTTTTAGGAAATATTGTTGCTATTTTATTCATAAGAGCTTTGTGTGTACTGTACACATCTTTCATGCACTGAACTTAGGATAATTCACAATGTCTCTCAGGCTCAATTCACAAGTTCCACAACATCATATACCGTACAAGTTATTCCAACATTGTAAGGGTAATAATTATGGAAATTGTATCGACCTGAAATGTGATGGAACTATATACTGCATAGTATACAGTACTATATGGCTTGAATAAAATCCTTGTTAAAGGTACCATGTTCTCTTAGTTGGATAAAGTACCTACAATGTGTGGAGGATACCTGCCATTTTTATATTATCTGGAAGAGCGTCATGGAAGATTTAAAGAATGTGTATAGTGCACAAATTAATGTAAAAAAAAAATATACCAAATGAAATTAAAGGTTCAATAAGTAAACAACAATCTTTGCCATAATTTCATTAAAAAGGAAACGGAACAGGTACTTTAATTTAGCATGACCAGAAATGGATCACTTGTGGATAACCACTTTTGAGACAACCAAAAAACAAAAAGGTTAATAGTATTATAAGCAGTTTGCCCTTGATTAAGGCAGAATCTATTGAAGTGAAAGAACAACTGAAAGATTAAAGCTGTGTTATCGAGAAGCAAAAATTGTTTTTTAATGACACCAATTCACTTGCCGAGTTCCAGAAATATTAATGCTTCACGTTCACATTTTGTTCACTGGTTACTATGCAAGTTATTAGGGAACTGCTCCATCCATTGTGTCTGTGTGCAATATGTAAAAATTTCCTTATCAGGAAAAAGAACTTTCAATAATTCCTCTATTTCTTGAGATCTTCAGACTGATGAGAGGTGTCCCAATACATCCAGCCTGGTCAGTTTATTTTATATTTTTTTATTTAACCAAGTTGGCCTGATTGAAGAGCTTGCTGGTAGCCACTCTCTTTAGTTTGTTCCTGCTCCAGCTTGATCATGTCATCAATGCGGAGAATTGTAATTGCCGCTTCTGTGGCAAACTTTAGCTGCTTCAACTTGCTCATTGCTGGTTCAAACACACCAACCTTCTTGTTGTCTCGTACCTGACCTGAAGATTAAATGATAAGAATTAACAAATTAATCAGTTGGGATTGGAATAGGCAAAATTACATCCAACTGTGAGGTCCAAGGGAAAACAGCATCAATATTAATACATTAATAATAATAATATTGAGGCCTTCTGAAGGTTCAAAATTTTATAAATACCTGTATAAAAATGAGTCATTTTTAATATGCTTACAGTTACAAACAACTTTCAGAAAAGTAATTCATTAAGAAGTGAACACATCTCACCTTCTAAGAGATTCAAGCCATAATATTTAAGCTGTGAATGTTCTGTTTTGATCTGTGAGGAGTGATGGTAGGCACGTAATTTGGGCACCAAGTCTGTGGCATCCTTGGCAGCATTTACAGCCAGTGTGTTGGGGATTACCAACAGTGACTGTGCAAATGCACCAATGGCCAGCTGTTCCCGTGAGCTCTGTTTGAAGGAGAAAAATCATAGGTTGATAATGAAAACACCAAGAGTTGTGTTTGTAAAGCACTGATGCCCCTAATGAGCCTCTGGCCCAAAAACCTTAGAAAATATAAAATGAGTAAAAATCAAGAAAACTATTAACTTGGTGAAATAAAATGACCTTACAAATGAAACACAAATTTTCAGTGTGGAAAATAATTACTCACCAGGCTGGTAGCAAAGCTCTCCAGATATACTGAAAGTGCAGCCTCCACAGCTCCACCACCACATACAATAGCATTGCTCTCCAGCACTCTCCTCACTACACACAATGCATCATGAATGGACCTCTCCATCTCGTCACAGTAAAAGTCGTTAGGACCCCGCAATATTATTGAACTGGCAGACCGGGCAGTTGGGCTGAGGGGCAAAAATGAATATCGTAAGTGAGTATAGGAATGAATACATAGAAATGGATACAGCACTTCAAGGAACTAATTAGACTGACTGACATGCACATAAAAGTTAACCAAATATAATTCAATTAACAGAGAAAATTTAGAAGTCTGAGAAGCAGTGTATCCAATCATCAATTTTAAGAGAACCGTGAAATCTCTATACTCAATGTTGTCATAACATGCCTTGTGTACTAACCATTCCCATAATAAACGGTGGTAACCATAAAACACTGTACATTAACCACAAAATGCTAATAAACCCCAAAATGCTCTAAGTAAATACTGCACAATATATCACACGAGTCACACTGAATGTACTGTACTCAAAACATCTATCACCTCACACACTTTCTTGGTAGTGGTGCTGTGAATGTGAGGTCCACAGGAATACCAGGACATTATTTCTCAGCACTTTATACTAAAAAATTTAATAATTTCAATCAATGATAATGATAACAGCTTCTATTATAAATGGTGAACCTAGGAACACAGTCAGCGAGAGGGCCATGTATGTTGACTTGCTCTCAATTCTGCTCACACATTGCTCTAATAAAAAATTAAATAAATAAATAAATAAACTTAATATGATGTAAGTTATTATTGGGCTTTATAATGCATTATTTAGGTTCTAATTCAATTATATAACTTTCTATGCTTTAGAAGTTTAGATATAGGCTACTGTATTATTTTTGTAGACCATTATTGCGTCCATTTATATAACATTTTACTTCAGTAGTCGGCGTTCTGGGGTAAGTTCATAAAATAAGGAGAGTCATGTCAGACTCCTGCCCATTTCATTTTACTCTTGATCTGTACTAATCACAAGAATGACCAATATAGTGAGTAAAGAAATGGCTTTCCAATGACTGGTGGAAGACTTGGTTTGTAACATGTCATTTGACTGGACACACAACTTTGCTCTTTTTTTTCTTTTACATGTAAGGTACATGGATGATGAGGCTAGTCTATTGGGCAGCAGATAAATAAGCAAATATTACTAAAATGGCTCATATTAACAGTGCTAACAGCTGATTAAATGTTGGATTGTATATAGTTCACTGTACAACAATACAGTATTTTCTCGATTTAATGAACTCATTTGAGTCGCCCCTCTCCGTTAAATCGAGATTTCCGTTTTTCTCCCGATTTGGCTAACTAGTTCACTAAATCAAGCGTGATATTTGGCGAACTAGTTCACTAAATCGAGCGCGATTCCATTAAATTCCGTGCCAAATGCGCCACTTAGAATGAGGGGTTTGTTTACATCCGCTCAGCCTATGTCCTGCCGCCACCGCGTGTGTTGTTCACTGTTACCTCTCGGTCAACTAACTAATGTGCTTCGGCATTATGCCAGAAGTCTCAGAAAGGATGTGGTGTGGGGAACAAAGTCAAAAGAGTGTGGCTATCAATTGGAAAAAAGTTTCGAAATTATAGAAAAAATTTAAAACAAACACCGAACCCCCTAGCTTAAGGTAAACCATGAATAATATTTCTAATGGTTCTATGTACAGTACATATCATGTGTCTGAGGTGTCTCTGTAGATGCGAGTGTATTGGAGTAATTAATCTCGATTTAGCCAACTAGTTCACTAATCGAGAGTTCGTTATGTCGGAGTCCGTTAAATCGAGAGTTCGTTATGTCGGAGTCCGTTAAATCGAGAGTATACTGTATTTTGCTGTGAATGATAAGGGTCTATCAGACAGCCCCCAAAATAAATCATGTGGTCTAATGTTACTCATTCCCTCAAATACATGCTCCTTGTCTTCTTCTTCCTCCCTGTTGATATATTCCTGTCAATTGTCTTTCTTTAAGTTCTCCATTCATTTTAAAATCAGTGTGCCCAACATTGCCTTTTCACATGCTGCTGGTGATACACCTGGTGTGCTCCTTATCTGTGCACAAACACATGCAAAAATGGGGCTCATGGTCAGGGCTCCATCCATACACCATTGCCATACAATGAATATGATATTAATGGCCTTTTGTGGTCAATATGACACAAACGAACTGCGAATGGTGCCTTTAAATTTTCTTGGTTCAGCTATTGTCAGTGTTATACACAATGTGGGATAAATTAAAAATAACTGAATTTATGTTTGGGACAACTCGAACAACCCCTTTAAGTTTTATAGGCAGGGCTCTGGCCAGGGCTCTGGTGTTTTGACAAGTGAAGCACCTCTTCTAATGGTCCCATGCTATCAGGGCCTAATCTATCCTCTAAATATGACCTTATCTGTGACCATGAATAACAATGATCCCATTAATGGTGGGCAAAAACTTCTTCACAATTATTCTCATTAACATTTCAACATCAAACTTTCAAAACATTCATGAACTTAACATAATACTTTTCTCAATCATCTTAATCATTATCTCAAAATGTTCATATACAATGATAAAATCTGAAATTAACAATTATTAATTATTTATAAAACTTGTCCTCTGTCAGTGGGAAAATCTATGAACTAATAATTTTCTTTACCCTTTAACTAGGATGAGTTCATCATCACAGATGCGTTCCTGAGATACTTCTGCGGCCTCTCCGAGGTTGCCGACATCGAAGGATTCTTCTCCTTCCATATTACACAAAGTGGTCATGAAAGTTGCTCCCGTGGCCTTGGCTATTCTCTGTACAAGAAATTTTTCCATACATGCTTTTGTTCAACTTCTCTACAAGAATGTTATTAACACAACATAAACAAAATTGCAGAAACACCTTAATGTAATGGTATACAATAATACTGAATTTTGGTACAGACAAAACTGTAAGGTAATTATGCATAACTCAATTTTAAATGTGTTTTATGTAACAGCTAAGCCTTAAGTTTAATTTAATAGTTTCTCTTGGGGATGAAAGGGTGTGTTACATACCACAAACATTTGTACTGACTACATTAAGATGCTAAGCATAAACGGTTCTGCAGCAAACAGAGAACCTACCTTTACTTAAGGCAAAATTTAATACAGGTATATGTCATTTATGCGTGTGTGTGCGTGTATACAGTACGGCGACCTGTGGTGTAATAGTCAGCATGCTCTCCTCGCAAGTGGGCGGACCTGGGTTCAATCCCAGGCAGGGTGAAAGTATAGGCAACTTTCTTTATGCCATTTGCCTCTGTTTACCCAGCAGTAATTGGGAACCTGAATGTTAAACGATTTGCAGATCGTATTCCGGGGTAATGGTTAGCCAGTGCAGTTGGCGAGTTAACATAAGAATGGAGGAAACTGTAGCGGGCCTATTGACCCATACTGGGCAGTCCCATTTACACCCAACCCCTATTGCTCATATATCAATTCAACCTATGTTTGAAGCTCTCCAGTGTATTCGAGTTAATGATGATATTTGGTAACTTGTTCCACTCGTCCACTACTCTATTTCCAAACCAATGTTTACCCATTTCTCGCCTAAATCTAAATTTGTCTAATTTAAAACCATTGCTACAATTTCACTCCTGGTTGGATAGTTTGAGTACCTTTGTTATATCACCTTTGTTTAGCCGACTTCCATTTATAAATCTTATCATATTGCCCCTCACTCCATGTCTCTCGAGGAAGTGCAAATTAAGATGCTTTAACCTGTCTCTGTGCTCTAGGTTCCTAATGCCCAGGATTAGTCTTGTTATTCTCCTCTGAATTCTTTCTAGGGATTCTATATCCATTCTGTAGTGCGGTGACCAGAACTTAACTGCGTAATCCAAGTGAGCTCGTTAACTTAGGGTGTGGGTGCTTGTGTTAGCGACAGCTTCTACACCTTAAATAGATTCACGCCCAGGTAGCACCTTGTGCCAGCCATCCTCGTTACACGAGGGGCAACCATCATTTATTTATTATAATACTGTACTGTATATTATACAGTACAGGTATATAAAAAACTGAGTTGCAAGTTACAAAGCTTTCAGTTTATACAATACATTAATATACTGTAGTTTTGTTAGTAGCTACATGTGTGTTGGAGGGATATCAGCACATTCAACTGTTTGTGTAAACAATGTATTTTCTAGTAAGCTTGAAAAGTACTGAGCAAACATATTAATATATTGTATTGATTATCATTTTTGTTTGATTTACAAGTACTGGAGATATCAATATGCATGTCACACAGCACTGTATTGACGCTGTGTTCAGTGAGAGGTTACTGACGCATCTATACTTAAAGAAAGTTTCATTATGTATAATAAACTTCCACAAATACCTAACATTACAACAATCAAACATATGTTATGTACAGTTCATATATTAAATTGAATGATTATCTTTGGATGTAAAATATATAAACTTGCAGCTTAGTCTATTCTGTTTAGCTCAGACATACAGTACAGTATATACAATACTTAAACAATTGGAATGGAAGATGTAAGTTTTGTTGTAAAAAAATTCCATCTTTCTGGATCATCATCTGCTACAATTAATCTGGTAATACAAGTACTACTGGTCTTTATGATGTACCAGTTAGTATGTCACACCAGCTGCCTTATGTAGTCTGTGAGACATAAAACCCGCCTTGACAAAACTATTTTAGACATACCTTAAGGTCAGCCTTCTTGCAGCGTCTGACAGCCATAGCACCAGCCTCAACAAAGTACTTCAGACAGAGGTCATCTATACCTCCCGTGGTGAAGATGACATTGGCTCCGGTCTTCAAAATTTTCTCAATACGTTCCTAGAATAAATGGAATGCCATTTTATCAATTCATCAGTACACATAAATCCCCAAACCACTTGAACCCGTGGTCATTAATATTCAAAGCAGTCAACGTTCGCCATCTTACTATCAAAAGGTTCCAAGGTCTCCCTTTATCTACCTTAGTAATATCAGATTCTCGCTGCCTGATGGCCTCCAGCTTTACAGGGTCATTCACCAGTACCTGGATACCAAGCTTCATCTTCTCCTTGTTAAGAGAAAAGTCAAGGCAGACAATCTTGGCATTGGTAATTTTCTTAATCATGGCTGTAAGAGAAAGATTACATTTTAATGTTAATTACATTCTTTCCAGTCAAAAAACAAGTCGCTTTAAATTAGTTCATATTCAAAACTACGAGGTAAATGTTGTTGCCTAGCGTGCAATGAGATACAGCTGTACCTAACCTACACTTAAAGTTCTCTAATTTGACAACGTTTGGGGATCTACAGTAAATAAAATAATACAATTACCAGCCATTTAAAATTTAACTAATAAGATATTGTCAGAATTGTGGATGATTTAATAACTGCAGTGTAATAAATTTGGGTCTCAATGTTGAAAATTATTTCAATTCAACATAAACAAAAAATTTCTGATTAATGCAAATTAGAGAGATTCCAGTGTACTTCTGTGACACCTACACATTAACCCTACACCTATATATGACCCATTACTGTATAAAACATCAACTTTTGGCTCTGCTCTGGTAAACCAAACTACATTATTGCTCTCATTTTTTAACAACAATTCATATCAACAAAATGAATGAATACACAGTAGGTTTCAGGGTATTTCCACATTAATATTGTTTCTGCTCCAAAAACTCACTCTGCACTCCCATTATAGGAGGTCTCTACATCTCATAACATTACTTACTTCTTAAATCTACTTTAAATCATTTACAGTATACTATAACTTTTACTGTAATATAATAAATCCCAAATTAATAGACTGAATATGTGAGGAATGAATGGTCATCAATTGTGGACAGGAAGTTCACTGAGGTTAACTACAGACCAGTCCCGTACATCATGCTTGAAAACCACAACAAACTATCTTTTACACTATGAGCAGTCCTACACAGCACCTACAAAACACTCGGTAAAATGGTACTGTACTTAAAAATTTCTTTAAAAATAGGATCAATGCAAACTATTAAAACAGAGAGGAGCTAGTGATCCAAAGAGAACCAGGTAACCACAGAATAATAAATATACAGTGAAGACGACACAGAGAAACTGGTAAAGGTATTGGGAGCAGCAGCTGTTGCCAGGTACCACACTGTAAACATTTACCAACTCTCATTACAGCTACACAATAAGTGTAACGAAACTTAACCCTAAGTGTTGCAGCAAAGTGTAAAGATGTACAGAATTACCGAGCCCCAGATGCAGTTACATCCATAAATGTTGCACAGTTAACATCACCCAAACAGGGAGGTACTACTGCCTCGGATGATATTGGAAGCATAATGTGTTGTCTAATGGTATACCCTGCTGCCATATGTGACCAAGTCCCAGGTTGCTGATCTGACTTTCTGCCTCATTTACACACAATTGTAGGGTCTCAATTGTTTCTCTTACTATTGACAAGACAACATACATATATTGTTTCTCACTATTGATCTTTTTGTTTTGTTTTTATTATTGGTGTTATTATTATTATTTTATTTTTAATTTTATATTATAAATTTTATTTACAAATTTTATTATTGTTATTATTATTATTACATTTTCGTCCCCCAGGCCATGATGTGGGTCAATGACCTGTGCCCAGGTGGGCTACTCCCTGTAAAAAGACACTTGGTTTTGATTTAACAGGGTAGCCAGTCATTTCCCTGGTAGCTTACAGTTACCAGATCGTGAAATATGGTTAGTAACAAGTGAGAACTATGAAGCTATTGTGTGTTGTATGGCTTCGGAGGTCAATGGACCCATTGTGTTATGGACTCATTTATCAATATTATTCTACTGTTTATAAATGTGAGAGACAGAGAGAGAAGAAATGCTTTCAGAATAATCTGATTCAGAAGAAAGTACCAAAGAAAGTTTAGTGAAGATAAAAAACAATTGAAATAAGGAAATCAGCTATGAAATAAGAACGGAGGTGGAAAACACCAGAGTGGCAGTCCCACTTCTGAATCACACAGGGACATATCATGCAAGTGATACCACTGTTTCTTGCAACTTCAAGAATCTACATCATGGCAAATCAAAAGGCAATGCAATTTCCTTGTTCATAAATTTGTTGTATATTTATTTTCTCAACCTTCTGTGAGATATGTTAATTTTAATATTACTGTACTACACACGGAAGTAGACTCAATGGCACCAGTGAAAAAGTAAAGTTATTTTAAGTTTGTATGAAAATTATGCTAAGTAAGAGCTCTACTATGGCACAAAGTAAAAATCGAAATACAGGTAATGGATGGTTTTAATGGACCCAGGACCTGACCCCTATTTTCCTATCAGTTAAGATCCATGAACACAACTCTCTTGAGGAAATTGGGACAAAATACTGATTAGAAATTAGGGTTTACCAAAAGCAAAACAATTCCATTTTCTAAGCAAGGAAAAACAATGAATGCAGCACAATACTCTTGACTTAGCTTACCATATGATGCCACTGTGCAGTTCAGTGCATAACCTGGGACAATAATGGACTCTGTGGCTGAGCGACCATGGGCCTTCAATATATTGACAGCTTTGATGGGATACCTGTAGCCACCCTTGCCATCTGGGGTGCGCACAGCCATGGCAGCATCCACCACCATGTTTGCAAAGAAATCACTGTCTATGGAGATAACCTGAGGAAGAACAATAATAACAAAAATTATACTAAATAGTTTCATACAAATAAATTACATCATAAGTAAATGAATCTTTTTTTTTTAAAGTATTTTGCAGCGGGGTCAGGTTCTAAAAATGGCAGCAAATCCGCAAATAACATTTGCTGACCAGGGGGGGGGTTTACTTGTGCAGCTTCGAGGGTTTACTGTACTTAATTTAAAATCTTTCCAAATACTTTGAAGACCAACTAAATTTCTAAAAGTGTAGAAGATCTGGCGACAATAATCATGATGACAGTGTAGTGTGGCAGGTAAGCAGTAACAACTACTTTTCCCTACACTTTTTGTATGAAGTTATCCAAAGTTCCACTACCAACCTTAGATGACATAGAAGTTCTAGCAGCAGCGACGATACAATCTCTGCCCAGTTCGTCTGTGTTGATTGTGAGGTTGTTCTGGATGTACCGACAAGCTTCTCTATAATGATAAAAATTGTAATCAAGATTCATTAAGGGGAAAGTATTATAGTCTTTCATTTTATCTATAATTAGAGTACTGTACAGTACATAGCTACACACCCGATCTATACTGTACACTGTACTGTATACATGAGATGCACATTTCTACAAAATAATTAAAGCTTGAGAAACATACTTGCAAGCCAGCTTGTAGCCAGCAATGATAGAGGTGGGATGGATTCTCTGCTTCACCAGGTCATCAGCAGACTTTAGCAGCTCTGCAGCAATGATTACGACACTGGTGGTGCCATCACCAACCTGAGAATATTAAACAATATCAGCATCTATCCTGAAAACCTGTAGCATATAAATAAGAGACTTCTAAGCATGAAAAACAACAAACAATGCATATTTATGAATAATAATGTTTTCAGTACTCTGATCTACCTAGAAAATGTGACCAAACCGAATAATTTTATCTGATATTTCAAGCTCTTTTATTTTTCTATCAAGATCTTTGTTTCTAAAGCTCCATCTTAATGACAAATGATTATTGATCTGTCTTGACCCGATATCATGGTTAATGATGGAGAGGGAGGACTTGACCGACCCCACCTAGTTTTTAGCTTGTTGCCTGAAACACAATTTCTTAAAGGCCTTACTATAATCATACACAATGCCAAAATGTTAAGTGTATAAATAACCATAAAAAACTAACTGCACTTGACTCCTTTACACGAGGAATAATTAAAATGCCGCAACATTACACCATCACCAAATTTTTGTACCAATTGCAAGGGACATGGTACTACTATAGCAACAGACATGTTGACAGATGACCCCAACTAGGTACAGTGCAGTTTATTCAACAAAGCTATAATGTTTTATGTAAAATTGAATGTGATGCAAAGTAATGTTTAATTTTACTGTAGAAGAGGACAGTCAGTAAGCATGTGTAATATTACTGGGTGGACAAAAGATGCAAAAGTTGTGTTATAGAAATTGAGTTAAAGCATGTGCTGTTATCATTGAACACTATTCTTTACAAATCAACAGATCTCTGATTATTTAGCAATGACCGCCAGTCACTCTCACAGATCTTTTGCTTAACTTATGCTGAAGAAAAGTTATGAGAGAAGATAAGAGACCAAAATACTGATACTATAAGAAAGTGAAGACAATATAAAAAGTTATGTCCACTATAAGCAAACACACACCCATGAGTTATATTGTTGTTTTAGTGACTTGTGTGCAGCAGTGAGCCTTACCTCCTCATCCTGTAGCTGCGCCAGCTCCACCAGGACACGTGCAGCTGGGTGCTCCACCTCCAGCAGCTTCAAGATGGTGGCCCCATCATTTGTAACAGTCACGTCCTGTACAAACACATAGTTTACAGTCAAGTTTAACATAAAATCTACATTACCTACAGTTTCTAATTTTTATTGGTAACATCACTGCTTTTCTTATGGACCTGAACTTGAAAAACAGTATTACAAAATGAAGGAATGAATTTATGTACTGTAACACATGATTGGTACTTTGTATTATGCACAAGTGGTCAAATTAGTACAGTAACAGGTGTATACAGTATATGCATTTATCTCCCCATTAGCCGGAATCCACGATCCCCGGAACTCTCCGAAAGCTTGAATGGAAATCGCGCTGGAAAGTTTCCGGGAATACTCTCTCCCTTCTGGGTCTCCGAACGAGTTTCCGAGTGAAAACCAGGTGCATTTTTTGGAAAATTTTCAAGAAGGTTCCGAGAAAATGTCTCCAAGCCTCTCTGTTTTGGGCATAAGAATAAATTTTTTGCGAGTTCCGAGAGATTGCATCATGTTCCAACGTGTCCCCATGTGGAGGCCGAACTGCTTGGATCACTTAGTTCATATTCTTCTGTCATTATAAAAGGTTGTTCTCTCTCTAGCTGCTGCTTTAGCATAAAATGTGTTATGCAGCACTACATTACTGTACCAGGACACCATCAGCCAATAATACAGTGTTAAAGCAGTTCCCACTCTGTAAAAGTGCATTGGAAATAGGAAGGACATCCAGCTTGATGGCAACCAGGACACCCTGCTATCAGGTTACGGCTAACTCATACAAATGTAGAAAATTAACAAAATAATGGTGGTAATGACATCTACCATCTTGGTTTTTACTTAAATGGATGAAATGTAATAATCTTTCAATTACTGTAAGAACTTAACTATATCATTCCTAAAAATGTATCAAATTAATGACTTCAAAGTTTTTTATACAGTGCAAATCAAACAAATAATTACTACAGAAAGGTATTTTTCTCATACTTACACCAACATCATCAACAATCATTTTATCAAGTCCCAATGGACCCAACGAGCTCTTGACAATGTTAGCAACTGAACTGGCAGCAATGACTGTAAAGAGAAGAACCACAATGTTATTATTTTCTTCATACATGTACCAAGTTCATCTACCCTTTAGCAAATAGCTATGCCTTTACACGACATGGAGGAGGCATTTAAAATCCACATAAGTCCATGTAACTGAAGCAAGTGTGTTGGGTGGGTGATTAGTTTTGGACGTTACATCTAACCCCCAAATAATATTCCCAATTTAACAACCCCACAAAAGTTAAAAGCAGTGGAAATTATTTGAACCTTGTGTACAGTTATACCACATCAGGTAAGATTATGCTGGACTGTTAAAAGCCCTTGTGGTGCTTTAATCGACCAATGATAATATACCATGTGAAGCTGATAAGTTACTAGATCATTCTAGGATCATGTTAGTTTTCCAACCACCTCCTGAATTATCCAGTTGTGTGAGAACCAATAACATTCCTCTGTGATCCTCCCATACCCTCTGCATGCCATCCCTTCTCCTCAGTTACACTTCAGTAGTGATGAAGACCATTAAGGCATTGATGTAATAATATGCTATTATTTCAAAGTAAATTTGACCAAATTCTCAAATGTAATGACTCTCAGGACCTGATCTAACCTCTTACCCGAGTTCTCCCTGGACCCCCGGTGTGTAAACCTAACCTAACCCCAAGAAAGAAAAAAGAAAAGAAAAAACACAAATGAACCTCAAAACGAAGCTGAAATCAAAACGTAGAAAACAAAAACGATATGAATTTCTGACAAAAATGTGAGCAAGTCCATGTGCACAAGTATCACATGAGATCAACACTTCCTCTGATTGGCTGAGTAAAATGTAAACAATGTACAGTATTTAGATATCCAAACTATGTGATTTCCGACATATATGATGGTCCAAATCGCTCAAATCACATCAAAAACCACCAGAAAAACATATTTGGATATCTATCCTAACCAAGCCTAATTCCTAAGATTCTCTGGATGACCGAAACTAAAATAATACCAAGTTAGGTTAGGTTATGCTGTGTTAGGTTAGGTTATGCTGTGTTAGGTTAGGTTATGCTGTGTTAGGTAAAGTTAGGATTGAAATTATGTTGGTAAAATTTGCATTGTCACACTTTACTGAGGTTGGAAGAACACCATGCGATCGAAAAAATGTTATAGTTACTTCGTTTTATTTCCAAAAAGCTCGCAATCAGCTCCATATACTTTAAGTGACACCCATCGCAGACTTCCATGGTCGGAACTGAACTTGAATTTCGAAATATGACCCAAAATAAAACTCGAATTTGATTGGGCCAAATATACCGCGAATTAAACCCAAAATAATTTTAATTGGTTCCAAAAACAAACGCGCTTTTGATTGGCCGCGTGACGTACGGGAACGCATGCTCGTGATGATTTTTGAAGGAGACGCAGGAGACGCGCAGTGCTGGAGGTGAGGCAGGCGATAATAGAGGAAGATTAATGGAAGAATATAGAGAAAATTTTGGATATCTCCGTTATTATACACTTCCTCCAGTTATGTAATAGATGAAAATTATCTTATAATTAGACGTTTTATTGGAATATGATAAGAGATTAGTGGTAGGAATGAACGGTGTGTAAAAGCAATAATACCATTGCTCCAGTACCACCACAAAATAACATTAAAACATCAATTATCAGAAAAGCTTTATAATTCCTATCACAACAGTCTAAAATCAATATTATTAATCAAGTTTGTTTTATACTTTAATGAACTAGATTCATTTAATATACTAACCTGAATAGACCTTAGATTCTTAAATGGTTAAATTAGTATTTTTATCTAACATGTGAGCTACACCACCAATAGATTCCAGTGATATACATGAATTAGTATTTTTATCTAACATGTGATATAATAAAAGAGACCAATTTACAGTAACAAGGGTATACTCACCATTCTCAGTCCTGACAGAGGTACCAGAGGATCTTTTACCCTGGATAGAGAGTACTGAATCAGCCGTCATCTTGAACTACTATTTCCTTCTATCTCTTAAACCTTCTCTGTCCCACCTCGCTGTCTCTCTGCCGGTCTGACTCACAAACACCTATGTACCTATAATAGAATCCAAATCTATATAATAATGTCATAAAAAGAATTCAATATCTTATCTATATACTAGCTGGGTTATAGAGGATCAGATACTTCTCCTCCCTCATGATATACTTTGGATTCTTCTCGAACTACTACACCAAATGTCATGTTTTTTGGTCTATATTTTGAATTCTATTGAGTCTAATTTGTTAATTCTTGGGGAAAAGATTAATTATATAGGGAGAAGTATGAGCCATGGGGTATATTGAGTTAATATGTACCATGAGGTGTGTATTGTGGTTATATATATAATTTTCCCGGGTTTAGCTTCCATAGAAAACTAAGTTGGTTAATATGATAGAAAATGAAGCTTTAAATGGTAGACACTAATATAGTTTATGGAACAAAATTGGTGCTACAATAGCGTGTGGTCTACAAAGATATATTTAGTTTTCTACAAGAACATGACAATAGAGTGTTAGTACCCTAATGGTAAATCTTGTTAATAACACTGAACTACTGCATGCGGAGACACAACCTGGCATCATTGAGGACACCCAGAGTTTTAATCATCTGAACTACAGCTACAGAAGATTTGGGAGCATCTTAAAATAAAGTAAGTCCAACAATTTGCTGTTAAATTGGTTATGCCTATAGGGTGAAAAAGACTACACTCTGAGACAAGCAAACTCCTCATTCTCATCCCAGTCTCCTGCATCCCACAGGTTGAGCACACAGGTAGCCCAGAAATTCGCCAGTTTATAATTTGTAGACGAAAACTTACCTACAAAACTGCTAACAAATTGAATGAATTACCTTAAATGTGCTTGCCTGATTAGTTCCAGCGTTTGTAAGATGAGGTGACTCCACAGCTGAACGAGCTTGCCCTTGGCAGTAAAAAAACACACCTTGAAAATTTAATAATAGTGGCCGTATTTATTATTCGTTTTTACTATAAATATCTTATAACACAAACAAAACAATTACGAAGAGGGTAACTCAAGGACGGATCCAGGGGGGAGAGGGGCGTCCTGGGGTCCAGATCCCCCTTTTCCTCAGAAAATCCCAAGACTTTTATGTAATGCAGTAATGTACTCAGGCATTTTTGTTTAATAAAAAAATATTTACTGTTGACCTTAGAATAGCTCCTAATATCAAGCGGACATGCGTAGCTTCAAAATGACTAGGATATTGGTCAGATTTAAAAAAAAAATTTCTTGGGGTGGGCTCCCTGCGCTCGTCCCACAACTTCTTGGACCTCCTCCTTTCCATCTTCCTTGATCAACCCCTAACGAAGATCAACTACTAGCCACCTCTTCAAATTCTAATACTGTACAGGTATTATTAATTAGTTTTCCGCCGCCCCTCTCCGTTGATTAAAGCACAGGGGGGTAATTGTCCCCCAAAATTGCTTTCCCAGTAATTCTATTTATATGTTAAATTCTCTCAGCAAATAGGTGCTCATATAACTTCATGATGTTGTCTCAGCACTTTCCTATTATCGTCTCCACATGTTTAACATAACTCATTATTATTTCCTCTCTTGTTTGTGGTGAACACAGCCGACAGATAAACATATAGATAGGCTTCAAGGATGGAGGAGTTCGATGGCTCACAATTGCACAGACAGAAAAAGCAATTCCTGTTTTCCATTTATTTTTTATTTTATTTTATTTTTTACGGGGATTAGCCCACTCAGGCACAGGTCACTGACCCACATCGCGGCCTGGGGGGCGAAAATATAACAATAATAATAATAATAATAATAATAATAATAATAATAATAATAATAATAAATAGAAAAATGAAAAAAAATAACTGAAGAGTAAGAAACGACAGTATGTATGCTGTGTAGTAAGAGAAACAATTGAGACCCTCCAATTGTGTGTAAATGAGGCAGAAAGTCAGATCATCAACCTGGGACTTGGTCACATATGGCAGCAGGGTCCACCATTAGCCAACACATTATGCTTCCAATATCTTCCCAGCTTTTTTTTTTTTAATTTTAGAAGCACAGGACTTGTTACCATCTTCCACTTAATGCATTTTCAGGAAATAGATTAGTTCATTATCTTCGGGTCTCCAGACTGGGCGCTTTTTTACGGGTTAGGCAGTGAGTTATGTTCAGGATTCTGATTAATAATAATAATAATAATAATAATAATTCAGTAAAATCATCATATAAGTTTACATTTAGCTAGGCATATACAGTAGACTACAGATACACAGACAGTTCAGTATATGTGTCGACAATCAGCTCAGGTAAACGGTGTACACATACTGTAGACCAAGCTGGTATACAGTTTCCAACGTACATCATCTTAACAGTACAGTCATATAACAATATTATTGTATACAGTAACACGATGATCCTCCCCATACTGGCCAGATATTATGTAGATAGTGATAAAGAAATGTACCAAGTAATTATGTCTTGTAGCTCGTGACTGGTAGTGCTGACTCTCTCAGTGTTAGTTTAGCGCCATTTCACTCTTTTTTTCTTAATTTTTTGTTAGATATGGCAGATCGTTACATGTCACTCTACACCTTGTACAGGGTGCTGAACGAACTTACCTGTATGTTTACAAGGTACTGCCTTAGTCACTCAGCTAGGTGCATTTTTACACCTTTGATCACGAGATAACATTTAGCTTACGACTCTAGGAGAATCCTGGACCCACCAAGGTAGAGGAACAACGGGGACGAAATGGCTTGTCACTCCTCTGTCAATGTTTTTTGTTTAACACATATTTTTCACACTTCAGTTAGGTATTTTGGGATATATAAAAAATAAAGTTATATTTTTTTTACTGTAAACAATGTGTCGCTGCTCGAGAATCTCTTTATAACACTCGCTCACTGACTGGTAGATGTTAAGTGATTCCAATTCTGCCTCATGTGACCTTCTTAGATATTTATTCACCAAATTCAACTACAGCACTTGGCTCCACTGACAAGAAAACATGACAATCACTGAACACAGAGAAGAGTTAATTACTACGTTGGCGCTTAATTGCAATAGTTTAGTGGTGGCCGCGGTGGAGACGAAGGAAATTTTACAAAATACACAGGAAGGCCATTTTTTCAGATATGCTAAAAATGATGTATATCAGAAGATAAGGTGTTCTTTTTCTAACCTAACCTATTCCAGTTTCAGCTTCCACAGAACACGTAGGGTCGTTGTCTCAAGTCAAATATGCATTCCCGCTGCCATCCTTCACCTCATTATGTTTATATATAGATTCTATACACAATCTGGATAGAAACCCCAAGAAAATTAATATTTAGTAGTTATATTATTAGGTTCTTTGACAAATGAGATAAATGAAGAGGGTCAAGTGCAGTGTTGGTCACGCTGCTCCCTTGTGTACCCAAAGAGGCTTCAGGTCTACCCTTCAGTATAATGTATCCACACTGCTTCTATGGGACCCACTATCACTTATATAACAAAACACAGGTAGTTCAGGTAGTTATTCTTGTATATCTTGAATCAAATATATGTGTACTTGTTATTCACATTGACCTCATATTTTTTTACATTTACTGGACTACACCAGATGTTTGTAGAGGTTGGTTCACTGGAAGGATGCACCACACACTCGCTCTCTACTCTTGTACTCGTGACATGGATGAAGAGTTGTAAAAAGTACTGGAATTTGTTACTTAAGTAAAAGTATTGTTACATTGGCAAAATGTTACTCAAGTAGAAGTAAAAGTATCTAAAGCTCAATGTACTCAAGTAGATGTAAAAGAGTATCTCACTCATAAAGTACTCAAGTACTGAAAGTAAAAACTAACAACAAAATGATTACTTATTTCAAATATTAAAATTAATCCACAGTAAATTGATAACAAACTAGTTAACTAAAGATACAAATAAGACATGTTTATTGACAAATCTTTCTATTGAAATTAATCAATAACTGGTTCTCAAAATGATGGCTGGCCAATCGGCATCTCTTAAGCCTGAATATGAAGAAAGACTGAAAAGCTTAGGCTTGCATTCATTAGAGAGGCGTAGAGTTAGGGGAGATATGATAGAGGTGTACAAGTGGGTAAGTGGGATTAACAAGGGTAAAATGGAAGATCTTCTGAAGCTCAGTAATAACGAAATAACTAGAACAAATGGCTTTAAATTAGATAAATTCCGATTCAGAAAGGATATAGGCAAGCACTGGTTTGGTAATAGAGTTGTGGATATGTGGAATAGGCTACCGAGTGCTATAGTAGGATCGGGGACGCTAGGAAGCTTCAAGACGAAGTTGGATAGGCACATGGAAGTGCTGGGATGGGTGTGAAAGGGATCTGCCCTGTATGGGCCAGTCGGCCTCCTGCAGTATCCCACTTTCTTATGTTCTTATGTTCTTATAAGCGTAGCATGACTAAACAGATGCTCACAGGTAGCAGACGTGAAGAAATACTTGACTGGTGAGGTTCTAAGTTTATCCTCACATGTCTTATCTTAAAAGCCACAACTCATCTATGTAGAAGACTTATGTTACAGCAGTTTTCATCGATAAATTTCTTGATATATAAACAAATTCCGTTACAGTTATAGAGACACGAGAAGCCTCCAGCAACATCTGTTGGAAAATTAAAACAACACCGTAGTATTAAATCTTTCATTATTTACCAGACATTACCATACAAAGAGAATGTTACAGAGTGGAGTGTACCGGGAACCTGAGCATAATGAGAAGTGTGTCTGAAAAACCGGCGTGAGCCAAACCGGACTATCAGACACTGCTCTTGAGGTACGCCTTCCCTCACCCGTGGTGGCTGTGGTGATAGGGGTAGTGGTAGGAGTGATGGTAAGGGTGGAGGTAGTGGTGCTGGTAGCTGTAACTGGGGTCAGCTACGGGATTGGGGTCAGCCAAAGGGTTGGGGTCAGCCAAAGGGGTGGGGTCAGCCGAGCGTTTGCCAAGGCCATGGACTTGAGGTGCGACATATGAGGTAGCTCCTCCAGGATGCTTGGCCACACCATTTCCCTTGATAGGGAGGTGGTGATGGTGGTGGTAGT